TGAAAAATTAAAAATCTCTATTAAAAATTTAAATACGATCGATGATTAAAATTGGTTGATTAAAGAACTTAATAATTCGAAAGAATCACCCAGTAGGTGACACATACACGCATACATTCCAGGATGCGTGTCCTATCTCTAAAATCGAAGTAACAAACGGCTTCCTGAGTTTTATACGACCATGAACCAACCACAAGAGGGACGGAATGAAACGTGCAGCTACGTGCATTAAGTTGCTGCCGCGCATAACCGTTCGTGAGGTTCTCTTTTGAAACTCGTACATATTCATAGACTTCTATAACGAAAATTCGGTATAAATTCGATTGCCGACGTTACTTCAATAATATATTAAAAAGAAATATGAAAAGAAGCCGCGTATGCACGTTTAGTGAATATATTCATTTAAAAAATATTTAAATTTGAATTGCATATGATATTGGAATTTAAAAAGTATTAAATTCTATAATAAAATTTTATAATTTTCTAATAGAATTTTTCAAATGTTTTTTTATTTTTATAACAATTTTTAATTCAACAATAACTTCATAATTTTTTCTCAGTGATATGGATTGTGAATATATTCATTCAAAAAATATTTAAATTTGAAATATGATATTGGAATTTAAAAAGAATTAAATTCTATAATAAAATTTTATAATTTTCTAATAGAACTTTTCAAATGTTTTTTTATTTTTATAACAATTTTTAATTCAACAATAACTTCATGATTTTTTCTCAGTGATATGGATTGTATTCTGTTGTAATAATGCTAAATCTAATTCTTACGAAAGGTGTTACAGGCAATCGCATATTTCTTCGAGCATGTTTGCTTGAACACGTTGCCTCCCCGCGGAAAGAGAGAGCTCTGAGGCGATACAATACGACGCGTCATTGTTCTTCTGCGTACAATTCCAGAATGTCGCACAACTTTCCTTTTTTCTGCTCGAAATGCCAAGATAAGAACTTTGCGCACACGAGAAATGCGCGTATATATTCTAGTCTAGTTTCATTTAATAATATTTTTCTATAAGACGCCTCTCTGCATACATTTCGCTGAATATATTTGTGCGGCTTTTCTGGTTGTCAACTATTTTTCCAGCGTATTGACAGCGCGTGCGAATAGGAAAAGTCATAAAAGCGATATCTCTCTTTACACGCCAGTGAAGAAATTAAAACGGCAGTTTTAAATGCGAAACAAACTTTCGCGGTGCGTTTCGAGTAATAGCCCGATACGTTTGTTCAACCGAGAAGCTTTCGAAGTGACAGGATGCGGGCCCAGAAACTTTATTTATGGATCGTTCGCACATATGCGTGCGACACGCTCGCTTTCTGGAGCTTAATGAACCGTGAGAGCCATCTTCTTTCGAACAGTAGTCTTGGACTGGCAAGGGCATCGGACTCGCCGAGAAACAGCACGTTTCGGCTCCCCGAAAATGTGCCATTTCGACCAGAACTCATATGTATACAAGGTGAAATCCTAAACACGTGTAAACAGATGTCTTACAAAATTCGTACATGGTAACAATGTTATTCTCCCACGAAATTTCGCTTTATCATCGACCATCGAGCGCGAGTTTCGATAGAAAGAAACTTTGCGACTTCCCTTCCACAATCTCGAATAACGTAATTGTTGGCGCAATCGATGCGCTTGGTCGATTAAAAGAAGAATAAAAAAAATTGATGCACCCACTTGGCAAAGTTGGATGAGTCAGATAACTTGGTAACGCGTTCGTGGAAAAATCTCACGGAATAATGAGCTTTTGTCGGCGTAGACAAATGGAATGACCATGAATTTATAGTGACTCACTGATGTGAAAATCATCGCAGAGAAGGTGGCATCATCGGTAACATCCGCAGGATCCGCAAACCGCGCATAATTTGCTTCATTTAGCTTTATGGTCTGTAATAATCATCTGGATTAAAGGAACTTTGATTATTGGAATTGAACATTCTGATGAATAGAACGAGGAAAAATGAAAAGTAACCTTCAACAATATCTTAAATCCTGCTTCGTTTTATTTATCGCAAGAATTACTCTTATGACTTTTGTGAGATTTTTACAATATTAGATATGGCGTGATTGATACGCGATATCACGAAATCTATTTAAAGACCATCGATGCAATTTCTCGATGTAATAGTGTAAAAATCATGAAAGCGCTTACATTTTGCTAGATTCTAGTCTTCGAGAGCAACCGTGACGCTACCAAACATCAACTGACGACGAGATAATCGCATCCCCGATGCGAATTTCGTCCCGTGAAAACGGCAACGCTTTCACTCCGATAATGTATCGTGAGATTTTTTCCTCAGCATCCTCAGCGTGTCTCAGAGAAAGACATAAATGTAACGCTGTTGTTTCTAGCGCTTTCCAAACGCACGACACAACACGAAACTCCGACACGACACGAAATTATAGTCTGTAAAGTTCCTCGAGATTGTCATGTACGTCACGACTGACATGTTAGGCTCGTATGATGCAGCTTGACGCATGCATTTCGCAAGATTATTATTTGATATCACGAAATTATTAAATTCTTAGTTCGTCAACATTTATATATTATATATGTTGTATATAATATACATTGTATATATTAATTATTTTATTTTCCGATATTATCTGACACTATTACGACCCTTCTTGCACCTACGGTAATTCCAGAGACTAATTTTCTGCGGGATTAGACTCTCCATTGTTGTCCGTTATAAGAATGGCGACAGCGTAAGAAAGCGAAACGAGTGGAGTTACCTAACGTCCGATGGTGAACAAAGGGTTAATCGGTGGGATTCTTTAAGAGAGACACATTTTCGTCCTGGCGAAAGGGAATATTTCCGGACTAAAGCGACGTGTCGTAGGTCATTGTGATACAAAACGTTCATTGACATCCGCCCACGCGAAGAAAGAATGCAAGTGAAAGACTTCAAAGCAGAATCGTAAACGTCCATTTCCCTTGTTACTATTGTTCATCGAAAGAATCCCAAGCATCCCGTCAATCGTATCCTTCCGATAGCTTGACGCTCATAAACGTGCTTTGCTATGATAAAGTTTTGGAAAATGCCTAATGCGAGAAACACTTAATGGATTCTCTCTTTTTCGGAGCAATTGAAAGCGGCGAATGTTCGGAATTCATCGAATTCCGAGATGCGAATTCGAGCGATAAATAATATCGAATATCAATTATGGCGATTAATTAGGAACTTAGTCTACTTTAGATAATAAAAAAAAGAAGATTTTTTAATGTTTTCTACAACTTTTTAAAATTATCTGAAAAAAATCTCAAGAATATTTCTTTTAAATTTTATTGAGAAAAATTTGCAAAATTGACAGAGTTATAAGATTTTAAATAAAATCTCCTTGAAATAAACTTGTAAAATTTTAAATATTTTTTAAACTTTAAACTAAAAATGCCTTTCTCAAAATGTTTTCAAAGTTGATCGAATATCTTGACAATTAATGGATTGAACAATTTTAAATTAAAGAGAACATTTTTTAGAGATATTGAACTTAATTAGAATTTAAAAAATTAATGTTGAATATTTTTGCAATTCTTTCAAGAAATGAAACAATTTCAGCAAAATTAAAATATCTAATTATAATATGACAATACTTTGTTATTTTTTCTAATGAAATTAGGTTCAATATTTCAAAAATATGCAATATATATATATAAAACTAGACTGAATTTTTTTAATTTCAGAATTACACGAAAAGCAATAATGAAGAACCATGCATTTTTTAACATGCTACGCGTAGAAATTTTTTTGACAAAAGAAGAGCTAAAAATCCAAGATTTCAAAATGACATACTGTTTAAACGATAAAATATATATGAAATGCTAAAAAGACAAGTTTTCAATATTCTTAAAAAAAATTCTTAAATCATTAATGTTTTATATTTTTTTCCGGAATAAACTGAATATCTTAATTGGTAAGACGTTATCGATTCTGGAAATTATGGATTTTTTACAATTCACATCGAGAAATTCGGCGAAATAATCGCAGAAAAAGGTTTTCTTTTCCATTTAATATCGGAATAAAAGAAAAGGACGACGTTCTCATTTGCCTGCGAATTGCCGTCGTCTCGACGACAGATTCAGATTATCTCACAGACGCCATAGGATTGAACGAAGACAACCAACGAGCATTCATTCGCGGCAGAATCTATTTCTATCCCCGAGTCGAGCAAAAATAGCCGGCTGAATACCACGATGAGAAACGTAGGCGCGTTTGACGCTGTTTTCGGTCGATAGTCGTTCAAGTTGAATCGTGACGAGCGAGGAATAACCACGGGGTGTCGATGATACCACCACGCGCGTCGCCCACGTCTCTCGATCGGATGACGTCAATCTCTTGATTCGTTGCCCTCTCATGTTCTCCTCCGCGTGTTTTTTCCTTTTTCGCAAAGATAGAATTACGATCTTACGTCGTAAACTAAAGACGTAATGAGCGCTCGTGACGTAAACCCTTTTAAGGTCCACCCTTTTGGACACAAGTCGATAGCTTCGATCGGGTCGTATGCTGTCGACTAATTCCGGATAGTGCCGAGAAATTGCGGAGGTCGAATCATCCGCAATAACCGTCCGAAGCCTTCTCCGACAATGCGCTTTCGCGGCTCGCGCAATGAAATATTCATCAGGCTAATAAACGCGATCGCTCGAGTCGACGAGATACGGCTTTTACTTTCGATATGCACGATCGTATAACGCAGATACAATCAATTGCTCGCAATATACGCGAGATTTCTTCCGCCGTTCGTTTACCAGGCGTTCGCGATAAACCCGTGAATCATCGATTCCCCTCCGACTTAATCTCGAAACCGCGGCGCGAATATTAATAGCGCTACCATTTACGACCGGCGCTATTGAACGCGACGAGAACAAAAGTTCACATTGAGAGAATATCAATAAGCGGTATATTAAGATTAAAATGTATTTTACGAATAAAAATTTATTGCGATAAAATAAATCAGGCCTTATGTTTTCTTTTTATCTGAATTCCAGGCGAACTGTACGTGGAAGAATTGAACGATAGGAAGACGGTTTCCATCAGGATGGGTTGGCTATGGGTCGAAGGTACCACTATGAGCTTACCGCTGAGAGCATTGAATCTTCGTCAAGCACCGTCCAGTATCTGTCAGCCGCACACGTTTGCTCTAGGTTTCACCCTCAGCGATTCGGAGGGTCATTCTCTCGCTACATTTTGGGTAATTATTATCGCTTCAATTATCTTATAATTACTATCGATTAAGCCTCTCTTGATTCTTACTTCTCGTTAAATAGACGGATAGATAAAAATTTGTAAAAAATCAATTTTGCATTCTACCGAAAAGAATTCCTCTCCCGCTACCTACCTGACCAGCGCAACAACAATGTAAGAGGACCCAGGAACTCTCTTGGCAAGAACAGAAGGTATTTGGCACGATTCCATGAACGACAAGACGGAACCGGCGTTTTTCGCTGATCAGCGGTAACCGCGTAAGCCACGAGGAGAACGAAGATACAGCGAAAAGGGAAAGATAGATCGAGGGAGAGAGGAATAATATGCCCCACGCAATGCAATTGCATATAAATGGCCTTTATCATCGGCACGATCCGTTTTCCTCGGCCGTAAGCACTTTCGCCGGGCGAACCGCGCCGGCCTCCCGTTTCGCTGCAACGTCTAATTACGGACCCGCCGGCGTCGCCATTCGATTTCTAACGCGTTATACAATCCCCGCGAGCGAGCAGAATGCGCGCCCGAGTTACCTATCCACCGTGAGCCGAGCGTCGATCTCTAGAAAATCGTCCAAAATTCAAATCGCTCCTTCGCGAATTTCTCCTCGCTTTGCATAGAGAAGCCGCTTCCCCGGTCGCTTTCAGATCGGAGATGAGGAGACCGCGAAACTCGTAAAACGAGTTTCGCCCTGGTACGTGGATTTTCACCTTCCTTTTTTTCTCCTCACTCGCGGAATAATCCAATTAGAGTTCTCTTCTCTAGAACGACGAGAGTCGCCTTTAATGAATATCGCTGATTGACACGCGATTGCGGGATAGAGGCGCTCAGAGATACGCAAGAGACATCCTTGCCTCTTACAAGGTCGCGAATGTCCAGGTGGTGGAGAAGGAACGACGCGGCACGTGACGCAACACACGCCCGTTCATCCGCCTGGTCGTCGAATCACGAGATCTTAAATAAGGCCAGTAGGCAAGGTCAACACACCCGCTTGGCCGATTCGCACTACGTGATAAATGCGTGGGAGAGTGTTACACCGCTCTCCCATGACCCGCCATTGTCAAGGAGTCCCACCACGCTCGCTCTCGCAGTCTCTCGAGAAGGGTTCCATCGCCTCTCTGTGAGACCTCAAGGACGCTGCCTTGCCGCCGCGTGGTCTGTCAATCGAACGAGTCCTTCGACATTGTAATCATTTTCCCGGTTTCATTCCAAGTTGGTCTAACGATGCTAATTGAAGCAATTATACTAACTATGCGAATCTCATTCATGATTGACAATCGCGAACATCTAGGTAGACCTGGACGAGCTCGCACGATTTTGCTGCCGCGTATATCTTTCGCGTTCGTAGCCACTACTCGACGCTGCGTCACGGTTTTCGATCGAAAGCGGGTTTTCCACGCTGTTTGCGAGATAGACAACGAACGATAGCGGGAAACCTGTTGGCGAGCTTTTTTCCAGACACGCCGATATCGGCCAGTGTCGTCGAACCGACAGCGTATGCGCGCGCGAAGGTCGCGTTAGCTCGCAAGGCGACAGGGAAATTTGTTTCCGTCGAAGATGGTAATGATCGACGCGCCGTCGGTGGTTAACGAGTAAATTCCACGGTGTCGGAGTCGGTCGTTCGCGTGCGAATTAAGCGAACCGGCGACTTTCGAATCGCCAACCCAGTCAGCGAAATCGTGTGTCACGGTCGATCCTGCGGGTAGACAGACCCGTTCGACTACTCGATGCAGCATCCTGATATCTACCTACCTACCATACGAGAATATGAAATCCGAATACGCATAAAAAACCGTCGACGATGCTGCCAATGGGGAATTCTACATACCCGTTATCCTATATATCAGACCTCATCCATCTACCCGTCGTCTGGAAACTTTCATATTGCGGTTATCGATCAGATTTTATTTAATCGCCTCTGTCACTTTAATCGATACGTAGTCTTGCACGCGAGTCACAAAAGGATTTTTAAAGAATATAAAAATTTTCTTTAGGCATCACGGTTATTAATGAGCGTGCAAGGAAGAAAAAGAAAAATAGAAAATTAGAGATAAACTAACAAAATAAGAATCCTTACATAAAATATAAAATATAATATTTTAATAAAATATTTATTATACATGTATGAAAATATTTACATACATCTTTCTAAAATATGTTTAGCAATACAAATATGTTGATTCTATAATATTTATTGGTAGAAATAATTAAACGTTGATGTTTCAGGCGGACACGGAACCGATCTATTGGTCCTGGGTCAGAGCAATCGCGGCCGAACTGGTTCGGCAAACGCCGTTCCGCGCGCAACGGTGTTTGAACTTTCTGGAGATACTAACCATCTGCCCGAGAGGCCCGATTCCGTTACCCGATAGTCCAACGGAAACTAGGAGACGATCCCGCAGCGAATTACGTTGTTGGCCGAGCGACTCGCCGGTGGAGAAGACGACGATGGACGCGACGACGATAGTTATCGACGAGTCCAGGAGGAGAGCGAGGAGCGAGTTGCGCGGTTGGTCCAGCAGCAACTCGAGCGACGAGGACCTCCTGGGAGAATTTCGGAGCATACCCGCTGTGATAAGCGCCAAGGACCAACCGGTCGGCAGAGCGTGGGGTTGCAGCGAGAGCAGCGAGGGTAGCGACGACAGTCTCCCTTGGGGCGGCGTATGCCGGTCCAGCGTGGACTCTGTCGATTCTAGAAGCGTTCCCTTGCCGGAACCGGAAACGAGGGAGCAGAGGATACAGAGATACAAGGAGACGCGCAGACGCGAAAACGAGGCGAGAAGCCGAAGGGTTCTCGAAGAGGATGCGAGGCGACGTAGAGCGAGGGCCGAGGAGAACAACAACAACCTGCCCAAAATCTTTGGTAGATCGAAGAGCAGGATTGCCGTTGACTCCGCCAACGACAATGACGACGTGCATCCGACACGCTTGCCCAAGAAGGAAATCCTCGCATCTATCGACACGACAACGCGAAACGAAAATTCGATCGTCGACCGATTGCCTCCGCTCAAGTCGAGCGAGTCTTCCACGGTGAGGTTTTCTACCGAGGAGACTAATGGAAACCAGGCGGACAAGCGAAACAACAACAGCTCGAAGAACGGAAGCGGCAATAATCCTGGGATACTCCGATCCGACTTGAACGAGAGGAGAAGCCGTGCGCGAGAGAGAAGGATCTTTCGCGAAAAGGCGCAACAATCGACCGGCATCATCATCGCGAACGTGGAGACTCTTCGGGAACGCAAAGAGCGGCTGGCTCTTATGTCTTCCAAAATTCCCATTTCTCGTCAATCGTCGCAATTCTCCTCGAGGTCTGTCGATCGTCCGACGATCGTCTCCCCGAAATCACCGAGCTCTCCGTCGACTCTGACGCAGCCATCCTGCGAGGAGGATGTCGCCAAGCTCCTGGAACGATGCCAAAGGGTGGACCACTACGTGCCAGTGCGGGAAAAGCTCAATTTATTCGAGTCCCTCTCGCGATTAGGCGGTCGCCTGGCTAGAAGCACGGAGGATCTCGGTCGAACATCTTCGAAACCTAGTCCCAGGGGAAAGCAACGCGCTCGATCGCTTCACGATCTCAATCGGGGCGCCAGAACCCTGCCCGTGCGAGAGATGTGTCGGTTTTTCGAGGGCGATCTTTTAGAGCAAGACGACTGTCCGAAGACGACGATCCTCGCCAAAACGAGATTCAGCGATCCACCCGCCAAGAGCATCACGTGGAAAGATCCGAGTTCGAGGCACGAACCTCCCTGCATCAGCGCTTCCGCGAGGAAGAAGCATTACTTGAAGTGATCGCGATTAGTAAATATCGTTCTTCCAGACACTCGATTAGGCAGTCGGGAATGAAGAGTTTCTTCGAGTTACAATAGGTCTCTCAACAATTATTCATCATCTTTTTCCCCGCGAAAATATACGTAAATTATCACAACTGGCGAGAAAATATTCGCCGACCGAGCGATTCATGGTAATTTTCTGAAACGCCATTTTCTAAAAAACGCTTCTAAGAGTCTTGCTCGTCGTGACTGATCGAAAAAGTTTCTTTTCTACCGCGTCAAGGTAAGCGAATTTCTCGAATAATTCTCGAGAACTCTACAGTCGCACGATGACAAGTCGGTTTTTCGCAGGATTCCCGGTATGCGAAACTAACTCGATTGAACCGCGCTTATCAGGCCTTCAGATTAGAATCGATCGACTCGATCGAATCGTGTCGCGGGCGACGATTGTCACACTTGCGCCGAGAGAAAGTCGCCGCGTGCGCGAGAGCCTTTTTCCACGCTCGAGGCCCCGAACTGTGCTCGATTCTCTCGATTACTGGTTGTCGCCATTTGAATGAGGGAAGAAAAGAGGTGTCGTATGCGAGCGTCTTACGAAAGTAAGAATGGAGGAAACTGGCGAATCCGGCCGCGCGGCAAAAATATTTTCCCATCTTGAAATTAGGTTTCGCTTCTCCATCCGCGAATAATCGTTTCGGCTCGTAGACAATCGCGTTTGTCCGTATTTCAAAATACAAAGTCGGCATGTTACATCTATCACACGATCGTGCGTATCAGTGAGATTGAGCGTAGCCGATCGTGACATGAAGGAAATGAGGGAAAAGAGAGAGAGAGAGAGAAAGGGAGAGAGAAGGGGAATCGGAGAAACCGGTAATTTACGTTCACCGAGTGATTGCCGCAACGTTGAACACCTGTATGTATACAAACTGTATGTGAGCTGTTCGTCGAGCTCATTTCTCGATTAGCCTGAATTCGATCGTCCGGATATTAATCAGGTAACACACAGCTCGATCGTTAAGTATCTAAAGAGATAAACGATAAGCATATCGCGCGAATGCTTGCAACGTTTTCCCGATTATTATAATTACAAGTGAAATTTGTATATAATTGATTAATCCCATTTTGTACCTGAAATTGTTCTACGACTTCTTTCTCTTAGGATATATTATAGTTTAATTTTTGTTACATGTTTATCGTTGCGATTGTACATAAATTTCTAATTATTGATTTATATATTATATATAAATGTATATATACACATATTGTATATTTATCTAAACATATATATAGAAAAACATATATAGTCTTTGTTGAGTGTGCGATGTATATTTATCATCAGAGTGGCAATCGCCCTTCATTGGATCTCTTGAATTTCCGTTTCGAGGGCCAGAGCATAGACTAGAGACGACTTCCGCTTATTTCGAATCAAAATGATAATTTCCGCTCGTGTGATATTCCCCTCGCTCTCTCGTTCCTCCTCGTAATTGATAACAGAGAGACAACGTGTATAAAAATTTTAGTGCATTCTAATTCTACATAAAATGGAGAAATGAATAAATGGGTAATTGTTTTGACGGGGAAGTCAAATACAATTAAAAAAAAAAAGATATGTTCGATATGAGAAAGACTTATTAAAGAAAGACTATGAAAAAGTTGTGTTAAGTTCAATTTTGTTTAAATATTGAAATATATTGAAAGAGAATACTCTTTTTCTTATTAAAAGTTTATACATTTTGATAATTATATAAACTCGCTGATTGCGAAAACTTGGTGCAGCCGAGAGAGACTTGGAAAACAATTTTGTACAGTTAATTACACCTCTCTCGAGAGACGTTTTACGCTCGAAGAGGATCGCCACTTATTTTTATATCTCGTTTGTTGTATAATATATGATCTGCGATTTTCTTACATTATATGTATAAAATTGTGAGAGCGTAATGTAGCAAAGTAAGGAGAATTATATTGTAAAAAATATCGCGGAAAATAATTAATTCAGACGGAGCGATCGAGGATAAATCGATATACCTCTTCATTAATTATTGCAAATGTTTTCATTGAGAATAATCTTAAAGTCCCACGTGGACGTGAATTTAACTTTATCTGCCATCTACTAATTCCTTAAAATGACCGGTTAAAATATTAATTTGTAATAAAATGATTACAATTCGTTCTTTTCTATAAATTCATTTATATTAAATTTCTTACGTCATAACAAATGCTACAAATACGTAACCATGTATTAAATTTAATCAATTAAAATTTTCTCTTTCATATAAAAGATTCCCGAATACTATTAGTATTTAAGAATCTTGTCCGATTGCCCGATCGCAAAGTCGCCTGCAGTCGACGACCGTCTACGGGGTGATTTAAATGACACCGATGTCGTATATTTCGTAGCAGATTTGGACGAACGGTGTTATTTTTACCGATGATCACCCGGTACGAAGGGTTGATCGCCAAAGAGGTCTTCTAGTCCCTCGTCGGATAATTCCGAAAAGCTACCCCCACTGCGTATCTATCCCTCGATATACTCTGATTGCTATGGGCATCCGCCCATCTACCGAATAATTGTCAAACGACACGCATCGCGTGTCGTTCACGGCGAACACCGTGCGACTTTGTATCTACTTTTGTTGTAATAAAAAGGGACGAATAATGACCGTTATATAAAAGCTGCTGTCGTTAGAGAGTCGGCGAAGCCTTGTCGGCATTTTAAGCCCGTTCGTTTTCCTATATATTTATTTATGTACACATATCTTTTCATCTACACGCCTACGCAAGTCGCCAATTTATTTTCTTCTCTTCTGTGTCAAATGCATTTCGATCCAGAAAGATGAGAACCACGAAAAGAGGAAAATATATTTTGTATAAATTGATTGTTAAAAAAAACATATGGGTCGGATTTAAAGTTTATCAGTAAATCTTGAAAATTTTGGAGCAATGAAAAACATCGCGCAATGACGTTTATAATTTCCACTAGTGTTTCGCAATTCTGTTTCCTTTCAAGTTTCTTTTCCGTGCGCGGATCTCGCTCTCATTCGTAAAAACTCGCTAATTATTCCCAGTTTTCACAAGATCAAACAGACGGAGATTGCACGTATTCTCACATACGTGTATGAGCAATATCGTGGCAGTGTTTTCCAGATGAAATATCAGAAATTCATGAGCCGCGATTGTTACAATCTCCCGAGAAAATGGCCAAGCAGAAGCAAGTCTGAATTGTGCAAGAAACCGAGAAACCTGCCGACATAAGAAAGCCAAACAAGGAAATGCGAAAAGAGAGAGAGAGACGGAATATTTTTATAAAAAATACGTGTCCCTCTCTCTCTTTCTCTCTCTAAATATTATTTAAACTTCTTTTTCTTTTTTCGAACCGGAAGTAACGGTCTCAAATTTCCGCGTCTGTAAGCAGTGCTTCTTTCGAAGTTTACGCGACTAGCGTGTGTGTATTTGCGATCGACGTTTATATAACGGCCACATCGGTGCACTCTACTCCAATGTTTATTCATTTGGTCGTTTACGTACGAAACTCGCGTTCGCGAGTTTACATCACCGCCCACTTACTATACGCGTAAAAGTGGTAGCTATCAGTCTGACGGAAAGAATCGATGGAGAGCCTGACATGATCCACTTGCGATTTTTGCGCGACTGGAGAACCTGTACAGCCTGTCTGCGAATCAATAATTTATCTCATTTGCAATCGCGAAAATAAAAGTAAAAATTTCCGTCCCCCTTTTTTTCTCCGCGAAATGGGTTTCAAATTTGTGAGCGTAAAGATATCGCGTTATGTATCTTTCAATTCTGTTACATCGGCAAAGTCGTCGCGATGCATACTTTCACTCATTATAGCTGTTATTTTTAAATGAGGATATATGCGCGAAAAGAAAACATAAATTTGGCATAAATTTCTCATAAAGATTTATTATATAAAACTATCGTTTTTTGATTATGCTGGGTAAACCTGTTTCTCCGAGAGATAAATAAATTTGAAATTTCTTTAACGATCCTATGATGGTGAAAGAGAAATGTAGACATATGCTTCGAAACTTTCTTGCTTTAGTCTCTTCGCGGGCCGAGAAAACGTCCGCAATTTTAGAATCAACCCGTGTATTATAGAAATGAGCAGCAGTTCAAGAAGACAGAAACGTATTATCGCCGCGTCGACAAAAACCGGCGACTTGTCCAAGGCGAAACTTGTCGCTGGTGCTGCTATTCACTTTAATGTAACGCATTTATTATAATCCGTATATGCGAGCTACGTAGTTACGTGGACTGGAATCTATAATACGTAGGTACACGCACGGGAAACGCACGTGAGTCGCGTCATCGCTTATTTGGAGCGCTTTGATACATCGCCGGCGACGTACAGCTCGTTAAATTTTAGCGTGTGTTTGAATGCCCAGACAATCATGCGCAAAAAAGTCAGGGTATCATTGACGAAGAGAGAAAGAGAGAGAATACGTATCGTGCCACGTCGCATATTCGACGAGGCGAATTTGATTTACCGCTGACGATGACTAGAAACGAAAGGTAGATCGCTATCGACGCAGAAACGAAAGGCTTATAGCGAAGAATTAAAAGAACACACGACATTGGTCGCGTATAAAGGTTAACGTATGTCGTGCGGTTTCAAGTTCGTTTGACGCAGATACGATATCGGAGTGCGATTATGCTAGCTGGGCATTTAAATGTCAACGATACGAAGAGCAAGCGAGTCTCGTGCGTTTAGATTTTTCTTGTCCTCGAGGAGATCAAACGTTTTTGCCGAATAAAAGAATCAAGCAGAATTAGCAGAGATCCTTAAATATGGCGAAGAAAATAATGTTTTGCGTAAAAACATAACAGTCTACTCGCGAATAATACAGGGCGTTTTTCAGCAAGCGATACAGAAGACACAGCGTATCACTTTATCCTTGTTGGTTGCCGAATGTAAAAAACGAAGAGATCAAACATCCTTGAATAAAAGAATGGGGAGTAAGATTAGCAGATTTTTAAATTTGGCGAAGAAAGTAATTTTTTGCATAAAAAAATGAACCGACTGATATAATTGCGTTAAAATAAATTCAATAAACTGAAAAATATACACATCTACGTTTAGGATCTGCATTGAATAATGAGAAAAGAATACCGCTTGTAAGTTTTTGACGTTATAATAGAGCACTTCTCGCGAATGATGATTGGAAGAGGACATTGCAACGGTTGGAAGCGGTTTCATATGTAACAAGCAGAACGGTCTCGGCATTATTATCGCGATAAGAAACCGTTTCGGATGCGAATCGAAGAGACGCGACATGCGTTGAACTCGTCGTAAAAGGAAGAAAAGAGCAGCCAACGGTATTAAAATAACGTCTCGTCGATAATGAATCAAAGATCTGACAATTATTGATGAAACAGAAAAACATAATTGCAAGAAAGGGAGAGAGGGAGAGAGAGAACGAGTTCTTATAAATCATAAAAAATCGTCAAAGTATTTATCGCGCGGCCTGTTGCATACGCTTTTAACGTTCGGTTTGCAAGAAACGCGGGTAATCGAGTGAGTGGCCTTGATAACCACCGGTACCGGCCCTGGCTCGAGGAGAAACAGGCACGTGATTAATATCGCGGTGTTCAATCGACCGAGATCGATCGACGGATCTATTCTAGCCGTAAACTAGATCGTTTCTCGCCCGCGGAAGAAACGCCCGGTGACTCGGTCGTCATCTTCCTGAATTCTTTGCGCATTCAATCGAAAAATCGAGGACCGATTTATATATATTTTTATACTTAATTAGATCTTTCTGTCCTATTTTTTTATTCTCTTCATTCTAAATTCTGTGAGAGATATTAAAAAAAATTGATTACTTACGTTACAGTGAGAGGAAAGAGAAAAGAGGAAAGGATGTGGCCAAGAAACTCAATGTTTCTTCAATTAAATCGCAAAAGAGGTTGATATAATTGCGGTATTTAATCACTAACCGTACTTGACGTTAAGATAATTTTGAATTATATGATGAATTTTATACAGGATATAAAAGCAAAACCGCTGCACACATTCTGATACACACTCGGCATCATTAATGCCTTCTCGTTTAAAGATAGCTGCTTCTAAAACCGATATAATAACGTTTAATTATTCATACATTATGACTATTTGGTTCCATAAATATTTATATAAATACCTGAATATATTAATTATGTAAATATTTCTGGAAAATATATATAAGTATTTATAATATAAAAATAATCAGACGCGATGCGTTTAGCTATTATTCGATTCGGAAGTGGCTTCATTAAGTGGCGCTTTTTTATGTATGATTTTGTAACTAATATCGCTGAAATTTTTTTATTTAGGTATCACTAAAGAGTTCAGAAAAGGCATGTCTTGCCATCTGCAACCACTTGTTTGACATATTTCGTTTCGACTACTGGCATTTTTCTTACCTTTCGAAGATATCATAGGTTAAGTTAAATAAATTTCTGATTCCTCTCTCTCTCTCTTTCACGAATAAAATAATATATACTTATGTGTGCACAATATATAATTACACACACACACACACATAATATATAAACTGTAAAAAAAAAACAGAAATATCAAGCAAGAAAAAGGATTTAAAAAAATCATCGTTTCACCAATGAAGCGTCAAGTTAAAAATTCACAAAAATCGGCAATGTCATCAGTCTTTCAGAGATATAAATACACACTTGTGCATGTGTATCCATTATTGAACACGGCGTGACGTCAACGCTGCCCATTGATCTCGCTGCTGTCAATGCGAGGGTTCATTGGGCGCAAATCGCGGGAATCGCGGGGGTCATTCAAATGGCTCCCCGTGCTCCAAATAATACGTTAGATCGGAACCCCGATTACAATGGCCCAGTTCTATTCTCGAAACAAGAGAAAGAGGGGGCGAGAAAGGGGAGTTATTTGCACGACAATACGAAGCGAAACTCAGAAAAATAGCGATAAGGAAAGGGCGGCCGGAGAGGCCAAATACGGAACCGTACGAGCAACAGCAACGAAGTTATCCGACATATGTTCAAGCCGTTCGTGCTCATGAGGTGCTCAGGGTTAAACCTGTCGGCGACAGAGAGCTCTTCCAGTACGCGACGAGACATCTCTCGGTGCGGTTCGCGAGCGTCGTCGAGTGTGCATCGTCGAGCTTTTATTATATCGCAACTGTCAGTGAGCGAGAGAAAGAGATGGACGAGAGGGATCTTCAGCTGGCCAAGGCAATGATCGACGCGAACCTGGACGAGAATAAGCCCAAAAAAACTGCCGTGTCTCGGATGCACGATAAACAACAAATCTTCCGGTAAGATTGTCCTCGATCACCTTCCTCGACACCAAGTTCAAGTTTTATCGCTTTTTTTTTTTACATAAATTTGTATATTTTTCACGAATGATCTTGATATCCGAAAGGTTATTTATTATATATTTGTAAAAAAAGAAAATCGACGACGCGAAGTTTCCATCTGATCGCATACTGAGACAATTTACGGAAGTTTGCGCACTTCCGTGTATCGGAAAATTTCCGGGAAAAGTTCGGAGTCCGAAATTTCCGCGTTCAATCAATCAGAATTGACATAATAGGATAATTTTAGAGACACACAAAACACATTTAATCTAATTTAACTCGTTAAACCTGGCTGTCACGCGCGTTAGATGTCAATGATAGTGCGATGATCAGCATAACTCTCTTAAATCGTTGATCAAATTTAATATCTAGACATTTGTCTATTATAGGGTTTGTCTTTTATAATTGAACTTTCTACACTAATGTACACTAAAAATGATATAAATATATTTACAAGTTTTGGAAAAAAAGAGGAGAAGCAAGAAGTGTAAAAGGTTCAATTACAAAAAACCTATTATAACATGGTTCAATATTAAGTATCTTTTGGGGAACGAGATTTTCGATCTTTAGAATCGAATCGGACGGTTCACGACACGATTGCGCAAACAACCATATTTTACGACTCATATGTACGATATATCGTCGTAAAAAATATGGAAATTTGTGTCAAGGCCACGAATGGATCTTGATACAGTCGTGTCTAACAATACGTTCCCTTTTGAAGCTACATACGCTGGTCACCGGACACGAGCGAGTGGGAGGCGTCTAATCGAAGATGGAATTCGATAATTTATATGTCATACGAGATATTGTTATTGACGCAAAATCTTGAACGTTAACATGATTATTTAGAGATCGTTATTAGAATTTTAACAATTTTATTTTTTTCTTAAAGCAACGTGCGGTCCGAGTTAACAGTCGATCAAGCCGAGACGGTGGAATGTAATACGCGAAGGTAATATAGTTCTTTACAGCTCTGTTCAGTGTTGATTGTAGCTAGCGACAACTGGTAAAACCTGCATGAAAACATGTTCCTTTACCTGTTGAATGTAGTCGTTTCGTTGGTATAGTCGTGTCCTCCTAGAGTTATATCGTGATTGCTTCTTGTCTTGTCTAATCATTTGAACAACTTGTCACGCAGATTTTCTTTTGGCATTCTAAACACTTGTAAAATAATTGAAGATTATTATTTTAGATTTACTATGATTTATAAATTATTTATAAAATCAGGTTGATATAGACTTTTTGGGATCTAAAATTATGAATTTCTCTTATTTTTCAGTCTATAATTTTAAATAACGAAAGGCTCTTTTGTAAATTGAAAAGAAAGAAAGAAAATCTAATTTCATAAACTTTTAGATATTATAGATGTGTTCACGTTGTCAGCTATCATCTTTACATTTTGATGAGACTATTGAACGTAGACATGCTTTGAGACCTTAGACTGTCTGAATAATTTCCATGAGAATGCACAATGTATTCATGCTAAAGTTGCACTTGTTTTATCTTGATGTGGGCTAAAAATATTTCATACTTTATGTCCAATCATATAAATATTCTTGTGTTCGTCCGATCATTGTATCGCATGTTTTATCATAATAACAGAAAATAACTTTTTAAATACATTTTTTTTCTAGTAGGAAATTTTAAAACGTTGCTGAATTTAGTTTTTGCGATTCTGAATGATTACGTCCTTCAACTTATTAGCTGATGTCAATTAATTATTTTTTTGGCGACATTTTTTTCACGGTTACACAATTATTCTATTCTCGGAATGACAGATATAATAATGACTTTAGTTGAAAAAAATTAATCCTTATTCGATTATGCTGTTTTACATTATGAATAGATTTCAAAGCGACAAGCAATTATTCTTGCAATTATTACTTGCAAGGCAACAGCGTATTAATATTGAACGACGACATGACGCGTATCGATACGCAATGAATAAAATTGAAAATATCACATATTTATTTGGTAAATGTATAACACTTACTCCAATATTTAGATTGCATACGTATCTGTGTGTATTTATCTCGACGATAACAGTTGTCATGTTGTTTTGCGAGTGCAATATGCATCAATCTCGTGCACAATCAACGGCGTCTTCATTCTAGATTCTTCTCCTTTTATTCCCGAGCTCGTCCAACATGGATTATCGCGTAAAAATGTATGATGTACACGTGGGTATGAGCACTCCAACATTATATATATGCTAGTTAGTTTTATCAATTAATATCAACATCACTGAACAATCACGCGACATTTGACATAAGCGTGGCACGCGATCTATCCACTCTCGTCTGATGAAACTGGGTTTATCGCAAAAGTTCCCCTTATCGTGAGAAATTTTTATCTTGTTTCCTTCTCCTTCAACGATACACCGTGTTCACCAAGAATGGAATCGTTGGCCCTCGTCAGTAGTGCCAATATAACGATGTTACGTAGTGCAAGCATCCTTTTCCAAGTTGTGACGCGTACGAGAAACTCTCTTATCCGTCTCGCTGTCAGGTACAGTATTCCTCATAAACATGACCCAACTTATCGTATGCTTTATATATATGCATCTGTATCTCGCATTATGTATTCCGGGTTTATTTTCAACTTACATCCAGAAATTATGTTTGCGAATTATAAAACGAAAACTGCAACTAAACGATCGTTTAATGAATATCTATTGGAGTGGAATTTTACACACATGATTTGTTATCTATAGATAATTTCAAGGTGAAAGAGGGGAGAATAAATAATGAAATTTAGAATAATATTCTACGGCTTGTTTTGCCTCGTTGCAGAAACTTAAACTAATGTAATAGATGACGCTTTTATTTTTTTTTACATCATGGAAACCTTATGTACTCGTTAGTTGCAATCTCTTTGGCAAATAGATAGGAAACGAGACTATCAAGTTATTACACGTAACTTTAATTAATCATAAGTCGCTCTATTATTAATCGATAAAATTATTATCAATTATCATCGTATGTGAGAAAAATCCCGTAGAAAAAATTCCATGTCAAAGCTGATAATGATTTTAGCCGAATAGCAATTACGGGGGTAAAAATAGGACGGAGACTTTATCCCTCAATATCGATTTTTCTCTAATTTTTCATACATCAATTTTGCCGGAAACAAAAAGAAAATTGCACTGCCCGGGAATCGAACCCGGGTCGCAAGAATGGGAATCTTGCATGATGCCACTACACCAGCAGTGCTCTTGTTACTTCGATGTTTCCTTTAGAGTACAAGAGACAGTCGTACTATAAAGATATAATATTCAACAAAAATTAGATTATATTTTATTAAATTTATCATATATTTTAAATAATCAAATTTATTAATATTACGCAACATTATACGCGCTTGTGAAATTAATACTACGCATTTTGTAAATCCCCAGATAGCATCTCGTTTAATAAAAAATTTTAATTAAAATAATGACATCATAAGACGAAAAACGAATTTGCCAATTTTAGATTGTTACATGTGTATATTCATCGATGAGAATATCTTCTTAAAATATATCGAATTGTAATAAAAAAGTTCAAAAAATTAGTATTGTGCGATGGCCGGGAATCGAACCCGGATCAACTGCTTGGAAGGCAACTATGCTCACCATTACACCACCATCGCACGTGATACGTAACGTGTTAATAGTAAAGGAGAATATTCATTTTGACATAATTAAAAATTTTCTATTTTTAGAAAAAAAAATCTGATTTTTGCAAATAATTGAAGATATAACTAATTGACAACGATTTACCCATTTAAAGCCTGCAACAAATTAATGATTTTATTTCGTTTCCATTTGCCAAAAAAAGTTTCTTGTAACTAAGGAAACAAAATTTTTCTAATGTAATAAAATAATATGTTTTGTTCTTTATATATTATAAATATATACTAATGCTTAAATTATTAGAACACTAAAAAATAAAACAAGAATAAAAAATTATTAAAACAAAGAAATAATCAACCTTTAAAAAAATTGTATATTTAACCTTGATGAAAATCGAGAAATCATATGTATCGAACGTGTCTTAAATTATAAATATGATATAATGCAGTAAATTCCTTAATAATTATTATCAACATTGGAAGCAAATTAATTGAGGCATTTGCTTTAGCTAGATACCTGGAATAAATAATTACATAATGGAATAGTTTTAATATCAGAGATATTTAAAGAAACATTAAGATAAACGATCATTTTTGAGAATTTTCTTCTGCAGTTTTGATGAATTATTAAAAATTTGAATTAGTACGTATGAGCGAAAGTAAGAACAGTTGGTTTTACGTTTCTTATATATGTGACGTAAAAACTCGCTTTGGTTACAAACATCTATAACATCATACATTATTCAATATTGTCATGCGCACCTCAAGAGACCGAACATATGGCATAAGCTCGATAATTGAGAAAGTATACTATGGTCAGTAAAAAGCAAAACAGAAATAAGGGAAGAGTTCTCCTAATTTTATCTAATATTAAAATAAATATTTTATCTCTCTTCTGAGATAAAAAAAAAATTTTTTAATTTAGTAATAAAAGCATTTTTTGTTAATCCGAATGGAAATGTGTTATTCATCGAGAATTTGATAATGCATTCACTTTGAATCATTGTTATTTTCATCGACCGGAAATGTAAGCATTATGGGTAGACTTCCGTCGACTACAAGACAATGCCTCGAACAGTAGTAGCCTCTACTTTGCTGAGGATGAATACTTCATCATAATTCATTAAAGATAATAGCGGAAAGGGAGGAAATATGTTTTCCTAGAAGGCTAATTTTACAGAACTTTCTGATAACATTAATACAGATTATATATAATTGTAGAATAATAGAGATAATATATATAATAGAGATAATATATAATTGTAGAAATAATAATTTATAAAAAATGAAGAATAATAAAAATGACAAAGAATACATAATTTTCGAGATAAAAAATACAATAGATTCAGAATCTTCCTCTGGATAAATTTAGTATTCTTAATATATTTTAAATACATATACATGTTATTCCATGTTATATTGTCTTCGACTGTGGCGCAATAAAATTAATCTCACGATGCGTCGCGAATCGTTCGAACTCTCGACCCTTCCATAAATTTTTTGGTATCACGAACGTGACGATAACGGGGGCATCGAGTGGTGGGGAAAAAGGCGCGCGTTAGAAAGCCCTAACTGCCTCTCGGCTGGCTACAGCTGGTAAAATCGTTTCTCAGTGAACCTTCAGCAGTCGTCCATCGCGGTTGTTGTGCCTTGCCTGTGCCAACTTGGAGGCCTCATTTCATTGTTCCCATTAATGAATAATACGAATTGGATTATTTTTCTTTTCAATATGAAAAACTGTCAAAGAGAAATTGAGCTTAACATTTGTGAAAACACATGTACCTATCAAAGTCTGGAGGAAATAACGAAACTTTGAATCGTAATGATCGGGAACAAAATTTTATCGTCGAAAATATAGTGCTGCCAATCGACTTATTATTATAAAAATAAAGTATAAATTTTGCGAATGATGTTGTACATATATATGTATACGTGTGTGCTTCAAAACATCGACGAAGATCATCTTTGTAGATTCGTGTCGCGCGCTTTATATTGATTAGAAATTTGCAAAATGATCACAATTAAATATTACAAAAAAAATGAAAAAATTTGAAGTATTATCGATTGACATGTAGCATTGAGCTGCGACCATATTCAATATTAAACAGATAAGATAAAAGAAACGTAACGATTGCGGACAACGGTATCCACTATCGGTCGCCTCGTTCAGCAAGTGAAATTCCCCGCTTGTGCAAGTAGGTCGCAAACACATGTTAATATGAAACAAGTACGCATACAACGAAGCCCGTGCGAGGCATTCTTTCGAAAGTTGTTTTGATACGCAATTTTTTCAATGAAGGACAAAAGTCCAAGGCAACCATTACCGATTATATATTATTATTTCTATTCTAAATCTGAAACAATCATTATAAAAACTCGTACACGTGCAACGTGCACAAAGCGTGCGTAGAATCGCTAGTAGTTATGTTGAACATATCATTTGCATACATGGAATGAAGTAAACGCAACACCACCGCAAACCTTACCAAGAATTATGCTACGCTTAGATGGATAAGTTTACCACTATCGTTGCTGCACGTACAAACCGCGAGTTCGACCATCGCGAAAGGAAGTCCTCGGATGTCAAGAGCAATTGCTATTGCGAAAGAAAGAAAGCGCATATAATTGGCCGTGTGTTGGAAAGTAGCGCGCGAAAACCGCAGTATAGAATATCATAGCTGATTATTATTGACATCAATCAATGTGAAATTAATCGCGTTCGACGTTCGAATTGTTTAAAGCGAATGAAGAATGATGAGAATCGAGCTGTCATTTTTACGTGCAATTATCCTACTGAAGTAGACTCGAAAATAGATTCGGAGTAATCGGAGAAGTGAGTTGGGAGAGTCGGAAAAATTAAAGGAAATGTTTTTCGGATAATGGAAATGGTGAAGGAGAAGCCACGCAGACGAAGTGTGAGCGAGCTGCTCGATTGGAGATGCCTAGCTGGATGTAAGGACATCATTGCCAGGACCGAGAACGGTAGCGAAGAAGAGCTCTTTCGGGCGAGTCGGGTCAAGGAACCGGAAACACGCAGACGGAAACGATCCGGTACTTGGCCGTGAGTAGAAGTTCAAAAATTATGGGAAGAGCATTAATAAACGAATTGGATCTAATCATCTTTCCTCAGACTACTTTAGATATTTTGCTAAGAATTTTAAGCAGTTTTTATGTAGACTATTTTAAAAATTACATGATGGAAAACTTTGTAATTAATTAATTTTAATCGCACGAAATAAGCTCTATTTTTCTAGGTTTAATATAATAATCTAAAATAATATAGACGATGTCGTCTAGCGAATCTGACTCATTCAAGAGACTCGGATTCGATTCTCAGTAGAAACACAGTAGCTTCTTATATTATAAACACCATCGCTTTGAATCATGCCGTCCATATGTTTTGACGCATATAATTTCTAAAAACTTTTGACAGCTTGTCGAAATTTGAGCTCCCTTAAAAAAGAGTTTTAGCTTACAAGATGAGATTAAACTTTAAATGATTTTAATCATTTAGAATTCCACTTGTGTGCTTTCAACCCGGTTAAAAATTATAATTATATCTGAGTTACTGTACATATTTTTACTCTGTGGAATTTAATTTATTTTGGGGTTTTCAATCGCTAAAGTTATCTGTTTAGAATGTCATAGTAAAGATACCTTTACTTGGCTCTCATCCAAGAGACTCGAATTCAATTTCCGAAAGATCTCTCATTGTTGATTGTAAAATCTAATTTTTCATCTCAACATATATTATCCGATTTTTATTCAAATTTTTGCAAAAAGCATATATAATAAGCTGACTTAAGCAATCGACAAATGACACAGTAATTTCTGACGCATAAACATAAATATAATCGCATTAATTGCTCGCAATGTTATTTCATCGATTATTGCAAAATCGTGTGTTACCAAGTACGAGGCATCGACCGAACTCTTTCACTAACATGAAATCACTGTCTGTTTAATTTCGCAATTAAATTAAAATCACGTAATTTGACATCTCGTGTGTAATACGAGATACAACACACAGTAGCTTGCTCAACACTTTTGCCGTGCCACGACATCATTATCTTCTTGGACACTAGATTCTGAAATATTAAGATAGTCGCTTATATAACATGACAATTTTTAATTCTTGAATGACTTGAGCACCGTAAAAAAAATTATTAATCATTTATAAGTCTTTAGGATAAAATATTTACACATCATTAAGATACAAAAAAAAATACTTAAAAAAAATGACAAAATGAAATATTAAATTCAGTGGAGAGCTAATATAATACGACTTTGAAATTCCTCTCAAAATCCTTGGATATTTCCCACAAGTGAAATTTATTCTACTGGATTTCTTTAGCGTATATATTTCCCGATTTAGCCGAGACGAAAGTTGCGTGAAGGAGTTCAATGAGTCTAGAACCAAAACAAATAGGTTGCGTGCTTGGAATTGATTAGTATTCGCGCCTGCGTGCGTGGCGCTGGGCGTCACGACGCCGGCGTTCGCGACCTACGAGACCAACGACGCCAATATCCGAGACCGTACCTCCTCTTGGTGCGTCAGTGCCGAAGCGTGCCTTAATCGTGTTGATCCGCATCGCTCTAATTGTTGCACGAACGTCGTCTCCTTTTCACCTGCTCAAAAGACTTATCGTGAATTGACGGTGAATGGACGAGGCTGAATTGAGGTATCGTTCAATAAAGACATCATTTTTTTTCCCTCACTACAAATCGTATCTCGTTGCAAGAACGTGTCTCCTCGTTTACGATGTAAACTCGATTACTCAGGACGATACATAAAAAGATCGTAAAGGGGAAAAAATTTGTCTAACTTTTCCTTTCCTTTTCTTCTCGTTTTTTTGAAGAGGGAACACCACGTCTCGAGAGATGACGTTAATTGACATTTAACTGCATGTGCATCCGAATAGCCGAGTGCCCGCTTGAATCGCTGCGGGAGCACTTTTTGTTGCTCCTTTCTTCGAGAGCGAGAACGCGTTCGAGAACCTTTCGCCGCACATTCCATCCGATCCGGCTTTTGAGAGCTCGATGGGCTTGCGCGCGCATGACGCCTCCTTTCCGCTGTCCATCGGAATTTGAGGAATTTGCGCTCGATGCAATCGATTACAGAAACGAGTGTGCGTTCCCCTCGGCCGAACGATTCAAGCCAAATGCGTCATCTTGCCAGATCACTTTTCGTCAAGATCTTTGTATCGCTCGGCGACGGGCCTTATATATATACCCCAAGTTCCAAGCCATTGTGACGTAACAATTTTATTACGACAGCGTTATTCAAATTTTACAAATATAACCTTTTACTTGACGCACACGTATTCATTATATTTATTTTTATATTCATTTATATTAATTTATTTTAATTTTTATATTTATTTATTTTATATTAATTACATTCATAATATAACACGTTTTTTCTCTTTTTATACAAGAAATCTGGATCGTTTAAGAAAAGAACATGTGACTGATATTGCTCAAACCGGTTATGGATACATAAAAATAATAAGTAATAAATAATGCGTAATGAGCGCACGTCACAATAATAAATATAATAACGTGCTGAATAAAATGTATATTTATTAAAAATTTAAATGATGCTATTGTGCGACAATCGCATCAATCATGGTTAGAAATATATTCTTTCAAAGACTGGATATATTTGAATGTAATAATTATAATGAAAGCATAATCAATAATCGATAAAAAGTAATCAATAATAAATGTAATAGCACGTGTCGAATAAAATATTATGTTTACTAAAAATTTAAATGATGTTATTGTGCGACAATCGCGTGAATCATGATTAGAAATATTGTTCTTTCAAAGACTGGATATTTAAAGGTAATAAATATAATGAAAGCATAATAAATATGTAATAGATAAAAAATCAATATAATAAACATGTGCCGATGAATAATATATTATGTTTACTAAGAATTTAAATGATATTGTGCGACGAATAAATCACAATTAAACTGAAAAGGTTCCTTTCCTCCGATTTGTCGAATAGAATTGGAGAAAAAGTATACACATATCATTATAACGACAATTAATCAAAATGAAGTCTAATGATGCGACATTCATCCTTATATCATATTTGCTCGAATTTACTTTCAAAGATACTGTCGCACTCGCTCTCGTAACTGTACAAATCGCTTTCTTCACACGAAGAAAGCGTCGTTACGTCAGCATGTGTATTTTGCCTTGAGCGAAAAGACAAGTTCGTCGAGGAGGTACGCGGACGATAAAAATATACGAGCGCAATCGCCTCATGGTCTTAGGACGCCAGAATTATCTCGGCATCGCGCGTTGGAACTTTATTGCCTGCAACATCGACACGATCGTAACTCGTACGTATTGTTACCGACCGCCAGAGATAGAGAATCTCGCGATTGTGGGCGACTCGGGCGAGTCATTCCGCGCACGGCCATCTCGCCATTCGGTCGCTTTCACGTGTGCCCATGTGACGTTTGATCAGGATTAAAAATTAGCGGAAAAAAAAAGAGATTAATATTCACGAGTTGACCTTTTAGGACTTTTCGCGCGATCGATACTCCGTAATTTCCATTTTATTAGTGCACGAGAGGTGGTGGTATTTATTTCTCCGATGGTGCAGTGACCGGAGAACTGACGTAGTGAGAGTAATTTGTTTGGACGTCTGAGTCGGAAAGTCGAGTCGAAAAGACGGATCACCGGTGGTCCAGCATACGTCACAGCAGCTTGGACGAAAAGTTTCGAACGAGATTCAAGGCTACGAATATCATATATGCGACATGGTTGGAAAAACATTTCTACGCTTCTTTCTTTGATGCGAGCTCGACTGCGTTCAATTATGCGATTATGATATCATATTTTATCTTAATTACAACCGCGTCGATCAGCATCGCGAAAATTTTCTCTTTCGTTCAAGAATGTACAGGATGTAATGATAATGACAGATGGTGGGAATCGTAAAATCCGTGCCTCTACGTCGAAGCCTCATCTCGATTGATACCTTCGAGAAAAGGAAAGTGTTGTCCTCGCGCGTACTTTCGAAGGCTTCTCGACGAGCGAAGGACGCCGCTCGTGTGCCATCATCTGCCTCGGGGATCAAGATCCTCAGAAATTTAGGCATTCACTCCGAAATGAACAAGAAGGAGTTTAGAAATCCGATCGTACAATCGCGCTCGTGAAAGTCGCGTACTTTGTAACCGTGAAATTACAGAATGTTCTAAGAGAGTCATCTGCTTAGCAATTTTCAACAGGTCGAATAAACGAAAGAAAGTTTTAAATAAGAGAAATGTATCGAGCGATTATCCCGATCCCTTAATTAAGCGTAGCGGAACAAATTGTATCGAAATCGTATAGTGACTTGTCGTTTTTTACACATGCACTTCTTTCGAACGTTGCATGATAAATTTTGATGAGTGGCAAGACGAGTTTATCCGCGTCGAATTAGATCGGTATTAATTTTAGCATCCGCGATTTCTTCTTATGATGGCATGCACGAATCTTAAAATAAATCAATTTGGCAACAAGATCGCATCGCTATAACACAATCTACCGTGTAACGCACGATATTTACACGTGTCTTATATTTGAATAACGTTCGACGATATCAGAAATTATTAAGTCATGATGACTATTGATATCTTATCGAATGCACTCAACTTTATATTGGTTGCAATAAAAAAATTTATCGAATTAATAAATTCCTGACACACACGTATAATTTTTATTATAAATCTTAAACACTTTATATATCTATTATATATCTTAAACACTATTATATATCTATTATATATCTATTATATATCTATTATATATCTTAAACACTTTCTCGTGCACGTATTCCGTTGCTTTTTCCTCTTGCGAAGAAGTCTTTTATCATCTAATAATAAAATGACGGATCAATTCTCGCTGCACGAGAGTGACATTACTGGACAGTATGATTTTGTTTTCGATGTTACCGAGCCGCAGGACGATGGATTCAACGATTCGTCGATGGAGAATTCACAAAATCGCGTCCTTAGGTAGAATATTCTCGATAATTCTTTTCTCGAGTCACGAGTCGAAAAAAAAAGCAATTACGATTAGCAGTCCATAATTCATTGCCATTCGATAAGAAATTTTAAAACTTGAATTATTTGTTTGAAATATATCTAACAATAAGATAATATTTTATATTTATAGATTCATGAAGTCATAACTTTCGCATCGCTATCGATACATTTACAACGCAAAAATTGTGGAAAGAAATTCAGATTAATGTAAACTGTTCCTCTGTTTTAAAATATATTTTCCTCATCGACTGTGCCCATAGCTACGTAATTTCTGTTAAAGTAAATTTCTGTTCGTAAAATTTAATGTGACTGAGAGCGATAAAAAATTAGAAGAAAATTATCTAGTGTAATAAAGTGCATTTATTCATACATCGATAAATAATAATTACTATAGAGTAATTTCTAATCACCTTGACTCAATATACCATGATACGCAGAATTGCAAATGCGCCGCTCATTACGTAGATATTAGTCTTTACAATTACTATAATATATATGTGCTGAATAGATATAATATATATGTGCATCGTACATTTTAAAAGTGTACATTTTATGCACATTTTTACGCATATTTTAAAATTAAAACTATATCTAAAAATAAAATGCGATGTATAATCGTTTAAAGTTCTTCGGTTTTTCTATTTTTATTCCTATGTAACTTTTTTTCAAAATAATTTTTTCAAAATGTTAACAAAAAGGAGTTATTTCAAAATAATTTTTTCAAAATGTTAACAAAAAGGAGTTATTTCCGAATATGGAAAGGGAAATGAAGCAATCATTTCGATACTTGTTCTATAAAGATGAGGTAGAAACGAATAAGTAAGAATCACTGCCAAAGATTAGGATCTTGAGTTGAATTTTTTTTTGCGGTATCGCTCGATGAAGCTGATGAAATTAGTGAAATCCGTGTGAATCCAAAAGATATCTCTCGTGTCTGATACACTTGTCTATTTTGTTCTTACAGACGAACGAGAAGCTTAAACGCACCCAGTCCCGTTCAAACATTCGGGCCATGTGGGCGTATCATGAAGAATTCCGCAATGGTTATGTAAGTAATTCACATTGTATTTTACTTGAGTATTTTAAACCATTTAAAAGCGCGATTATTTGAGTATTTTACGTTTAAAAGCACGATTATTTGAGTATTTTATATTTAAAAGCGCGATTATTATATTTCATCGGAAATTTTTCTGCCATTTCATCTTCGATCAAACAAATTTTATTATTACGCATGCATTTAAAATTGCATTGAAAATCGTCCTCGTATATTTTCCTTCACATCGTTAATTAAATTACAGAAGAACATTTCATGATGACATCGCATCGTTGATCAAACTCACGATAAATATAATCATAAATATAATCATAGGTCAATTAAAAATTATTAATTTTTAAAAGGTAAAAAGAAAGTTTCCATTGTCTTGTGGATTTCATTGAACGACATTTAATGGGGAAAGTTTAGAATCGCCTTGATTACCAAACAATCAAATTGAAATGCTAATTGTTCGTAGAGTAAGTATCGAATATACTAGAACCGATCGACGGATTCATTTGCATTTTTTTTTGCAAGGAATGATGACTAAGCGATATCGGACGTGTTGACGTCCGATTTTAAATGTTGAGATATTAATTGCAATTTCTACGAATTTTTTTTTACATCTCGGATTATTTATTTTATCATTTAATTATTAAAGTACTTTATTAATTATACATTTAATTTTGTGGCACATCAATTACAATTAAATTCAAATATTTACGTAAAATATTTATTTTGGATGATTCTAATTTTATCATGGGGTTAATTTTGTAGATATGTATATAAGATTGGAGCCTTCACATTCAGTAGCACTTTTAACTTTAAAAAGAATCTTGGGATCACATGTTATAATAGAAACGGACGCTTCATTATGCATAACTTTTATAAATTTTATGCACATAAATGCAATTTTTTTATCTGAGAGGATATAAGTTTGTATGAAAATGAAAATGTTTTTTTCATTTATGACAGAGTATGTTTGAATTGTGTATTCTTTTCTAAATATGCATAGTTTCATACGAGAAAGTTCTCGCATTTTAACATGCATTAAAATATACATCAATGCCTTTACAATATATTTCCAGAATTAGTAGATAGTTTTAACTTAGCCGATTCGAAACATTTTAATATCTGTAAACGTTTAATATGCATAAAAAATTATAAACACAATATTCAGTGACAAAGGCATAGTTCATATAATTTTAAAGGAATAAAAAAAATATAATTTTATTTAAATAGTTGTGGTGTAAGGATATCTAGGGACGATGCACCGAAAAATGTTCGGTGATTTTGAATTCTGTGCAGCAATCATGTACTTTTTTCCCAAAAACGGAAAGGTCAAAAATTTTTTCGTTCAAGCTAAAAATATTCGCTTTTCTCGCTTTTGTCTTGAGAAACAATACAAGCTCCCCATCCTGGAAATGTTGAACTGCAGTATATATAAAATGAGTTACAGATATTAGCAATGCGATTTCCCGCGCGTGCACGTGATGTACACGCGCGCGCGTGCGCGATGTTTGCGCTTAAATGTCCGTCTTACTTAGTTGCGTGGTCAGTAAGCTCGCGTCGCTCAGCCGGTGCTATCATGGTTGGAATCAAGATGTAAGTTGTTGATCGATGCACGATACTTTTTAATTCTCTCTCACATCACCTAACAACACCCGACATTACGTTTTCATCGGTTACAAAAAGTTATTTTTTCGTTACTTAAATTTTGCGGCCACGATTAAAGAGTTTCGAAGGGTTTCGAAGAGAAAAAGTCTTATATATTCATAAATTGTGCCACTGACAGGTATTTAATTTGTTTCAAACAAAATCCGAGATCTTTTTGTGAAAATTCACTATAAATTTCTTAAATTAAATTTATCTTTTTTCTTAGAGGATGCTTAAAAAGTATCCTATAAAATAGTATCAATAAAACACACTTATATTTGTTTTGATGATCCTCGTGAAAGTTCATCGGTAGTCCGAAAAAATTATCGATTATGATATAAGAATTTTAAAATTATCTGATGAGTGCTTTTAGAGTTGTAGCGGCACATTAACATAAATAGCACTACGAATCGTAATTTTATTAATCAAATATTCGAAATAGCTTTGAATAAGTTGCCGCGACTTGAATCAGTAAGATCACGAAAAATCGCATGCGTGTTGGTTCAATTATATGCAGCGATAAAAAAGACATAACTCGCCGCGTTTGATCCCCACATCATCAATTCCCGCGACATACCTCGATTAATATTCTCAAGTAGATTTCCGCAAATTTACTTTTCACTTTATTGATAGTTGGTCTTTAACTAATTGTGGGGTGGTCCTTAACTAATTGTGGGGTGCGAAGAATTACAATATCCACATCTATTGATGTTCTCATAATGTTTAAATATAATTTAAATGTACTTGAATGTATGTCTTTCAATCATCTTTTGCAAACGAATATTTGGAAAAAAATATTAGTTACGTAATTCATTCTCATCGCTTTTTTTCTTTACATAATCGATATTTGCTGATGTTTCACGAGCTCTCTTGTTTGATGACTTTTTCTATAAGGAACTGAATTTGCAGCTTTGCAATCGGCGCATAAAAGACTGCAGTGTAATACAATAACGTAATCACCATGTTAATCATAAACGGCAATCCTGCATCATTCGATACTTTTTTACATTTCATAAGTTACCTTTGTCCCTATGATTCGATTGTTTCTCGAGGCTATAGAGGATGTAACGACGAATGACGAATAATTATAGACGAAGCCTTTAGAAGAGGTAGAGGCATGGCAATCAATCGAGAGCTCGAATCTAAATTTCATTCCCGCTGGTTCTGCTTACGTATAAATTATCGTATCTTTATTTAAATGTATTTAAATGATATTTTTTACAAGATATTCTGTCAAATATAAATCTGCTATACAACAGATGAGACGCGTAACAACATTGTAATGCGACCGATGATTGCATATTGAAGAGAAATACAATAGTAATGATTTGGTTTCACAGGACCATTCAGGATCCAGCCTCCCAGAGGTTGACATGGTACAAACCTCCGCTTACCGTTCTCGTCATCAAAAAAGTCCGCGACTCGTCAGTTCTACCACCGTTTGTTCAAATGGTCACATGGCTGATAGAGGTAAATATTAACAAAACCATTTAACAAATCGAAAGATTATGCGTTTATCTCGCGACAAATTGATTAGCTTGTTCGCAGCTTGATTGTTGTTAATAGTCCACTGACATTACAAAAAACTAATTAGCTTCATTTGCATGAAATGAAAAAAAAACTGTCCTCGGTACTCGATACCTTTTTCACGTTATTCTTAATTTCATGTTAGTGTCTAATTATATTTGATTCACGTTAAAAATATGTCGTCTTTTTTCACGTACGACAGTTGCAGTTTGTACTGCACCAACTTATGTGTTAACGCATCGTTAACTTGTATACGAGTATTAGTAACTTGTATACGAGTATTAGTAAAAGAGAAATCGTCCTTAACCCATGAACTATTATTCTTATATTTTCTCTAGTACTAAAAATACAATGCCAAAAGTACATTATTGACTACGATTATTATTTACCTAGTTTTAATGCCTGCTCGTAATAAAGGAAATCTTAAAATTTTTTTTCTGTAATACAGGAAAAACGAATGGTGGTTTTTGTAGAAGCATCTGTTCTGGAAGACCCAGCTTTAGCCAGGGATCCCAGATTTCAAGGTGTTCGCGACAGATTACAAACCTTTAGGGACGGCACGGATGAATTACAGGTAATAATTCTTTCCGCTTGAAATGTTTCGTGATATTTACAAATTATGCGTTTGTCATAATTTTTCACGATGATTCTCATCAGAAAATATAAAAATTTATTTACGTGTTTGCGAGTCAGATTCGATGCAGTTGCATATCATACGACAAAACATGAATAATTTTTGTAAAATAAATGAATATTAATGAATGAAAAAATTTGCATTAATTTTTGCTCTTTTATATTAATGACATTATACCTTTTGTTTTCAGGATCGAATTGACTTTATTGTGTGCTTGGGAGGTGACGGCACACTCCTTTATGCCAGTCTACTGTTTCAACAATCAGTGCCACCTGTAATGGCATTTCACCTTGGCTCCTTGGGTTTCCTCACCCCCTTCGAGTTTGACAATTTCCAGGAACAAGTGACCAACGTTCTCGAAGGTGAGCCGTCGATTTATTTATTTATTGTCGTCGTTTTTCGTTTATAGCTTATTAATTTTTCGCGTCTCAATACCAGGTCATGCAGCTTTAACCTTGAGGAGCCGTCTAAGATGTGTCATTGTACGCAAAAATGAAGAGGGGCAACCGACTGAACCACCCACTAATCTTCTGGTGCTGAATGAAGTTGTAGTGGATAGAGGACCATCACCTTATCTATCAAACATCGATCTATTCATCGACGGCAAACACGTGACGAGTGTCCAGGGCGATGGTTTGATTGTAAGCACGCCAACCGGATCAACCGCCTACGCAGTCGCCGCTGGAGCCAGCATGATTCATCCATCAGTTCCTGCCATTATGATCACACCGATCTGCCCTCACTCCTTGTCCTTCAGACCGATCGTCGTACCTGCCGGAGTCGAGCTCAAGGTAGTTGTTTAAACTTCTCGACGCCGAGAAGCGCGCCAATCGAAATGTTAATTTAGTTTACACCAGATATGACCACTGATTTAAAATTTCGGAATGATTTCTAGAAATGCACGTCTTTCAGCTCACGTCGAAAGTTAGAAACAAGTTCTGTTTGTTTCCTTTAAGACTTATAACAAATATTAATTAATTTGCACTTAATTCAGCATTTTCGCGTAAATCGATAAAAGTTTTTTATCACGTCTGATGTATGGGCCATGTTAATATCCCATAAAAGGAAACCTGGTTCAAATGAATGTCGCCCACATTCCCAGACCGTGCGCTGCCTCAAAGTTTTCGCTCAAAAGTTGTCAAAATATCAGAATTTATCGGAAATTACTCGTTTCTTGACATGAAACTGTGATCAAGGAAAGAGATTATTTCCATAATAATAAAAAATGCAAATAAGAGAGAGTTCCTAAATTATTAAATATATAGATTTAATAATTTAGAAACTTATTCGCCTTTTTTATTATTAGGAAGATGGATTTATTAAGATTTATCAAAATGTTAAATTTTTATAGGTTCAAACATTTTTCGAGAAACGCTTAAATATTTTCCTCCTTACGCATCAGTGATTTTAACGATAACGATGGGAAAAAGTCTATTGAAAAAATTCAATAAACAACGTGACGAGTGTTTTAACAAAGATAAATGAAAAAAATTGACGCATTATTTCGAGCCTAACGAACCGCGACGCTACTGCTGTTAAAATGACAATCTTCCTTCTCACTGTAGATCTCGGTTTCACGTGACAGCAGAAATACCTCGTGGGTGTCCTTCGACGGTAGAAATAGGCAGGAACTGTTCCACGGTGACAGGTAAAACCGAAGCGCTCGGCAGCTCTATCTAATCGTTTGCATTTTCTACAATTATTTCAGATAAAGGCAAACAGCAATGCCCGCAGTACAGCCTACGTCTCCTTCGACGGTCGCAACCAGCAAGAGCTGCGTGTCGGTGACAGGTTTGTCCTGCTTTTGTAAAGAGCGTTGTTTCGCCTTTCTCTCTATCTGTGCCTCGTCGCAGCATCATGTGATTCATTCGTGTGGTTTATTCTTTTTCAAAAGCTCGATAAATATCACAAAGTATCATATAAAGTAACTATCTGAGTGAATATCTTTCCACACTAAGTTTATCTTGATTAGTACATTTTTTCTCCATTTTCTTGTATTTTTTATATTCATACACACAATTTTTTTTCATTATTCTAAATATTTTTATCTTTAAATTCTTTCTATTTCATCCATTCTATGCTTATTCGTTTCTCTCGGGATTTTAATGCATTCCCTTTGCTGGCTATCTCTTAAGACTTTTCATAAGAACATCTTTCTGGAGTGAGACGTTGGCTGTCCTGCAGGGTGATGGTACTTTACGTTTCATTCATCATATTTGCGATAAACATTATTCAAATATAAATATTAAACTGACAATTCGCTTTCCATAAAGAAGTCAGTCCAAAAATAAATATTTTTCTACATAAGAATATGTACATTTTTCTATAAAATATATTTAAACTGTTGTTATAATTGAATTATGACTGTTATGATATAACTGTTTTTTAATTGAATTTTACTGCCTTAAAAACATTAAAAATCAAATTTTGCTAGTACAAATCAATTTCTTATAAAGTAAAATGTTTATGATTATAAAAAGCTTTCGCTTACAATCCATTACTTTAAAATTTGAATTGAAGAATTATTTAATGAAAATTGCATAATTTTTCAGCTTAAGGGTAACAACTTCCATATATCCAGTACCTAGTATTTGCGCGGCCGATCAAATCACTGACTGGTTCGATTCTCTGGCCGAATGTCTACATTGGAATGTCAGGAAACGACAGAAGCATTTGGACGAATTAAGCGATCTCGCGCATTCATCCAGTAACGATACTTTAGATTCCTTCGATCGAGATAGCTAGACCAATAAACACTCGTTATAAACTGTAATACAATCGACAATATATTTGATCGCCCATATATATCCGGTTAAGAAATTCCGAGGGTCGACAAATTAACATCATTTCCGTTGATTAAAGTTTTACGAGATGAAATATTCTTAAATATAGGAAAAGGAAGCCGATAAAACTGACTGATGATCGACAAAATAGCGCTCTGTAAGATGACACTCTTAGAAAACATTTGTGTACGAGAGAATAAGCGATCTTCAAACGAAAAGAATGATGAATATTATTTAATCCAAACGGCAAAAGATATGCTTAAGTCACGATTATATAAAAAGTTTAATTTCTAATAATATAAAATGCATTTGTTTTCGTAGAGATTTATGTATACAGTAAAATATCATTTAATATGGAAAATTATCGTCGGACAAGTACTCTGGATTATTACTCTGGACGTTTAAATATCTTTTTTCAATAATATTCAATAATGCCTGAATGAATCTTCGATTTATTCAAATTTACAAAGATTTTTATACTTTTATTTTACACTCTTCATCAATATACATATTATCTGTACAGATATTTTTATTCTCTAGTATTTTTCTTTAGATTAACTGGTTGAAATATATACATATGTGTGTATATATAAGAGAGGTGACCACATGCCCTCGATTTTTTACTGATTACGACACTATACAATGTAAATCAATTTATTGTAAATGAATCACATAATTTCCTATATCTTTAAATCTTTTTAATAAAATATGTTTTGTACAATATTTGCTATATATGTATTCCTTATAATAATTCTATACAATAGAATTAAGTGCAAAGCTGTAAAAGGAAGAAGGAGATTTTTATTTATCAGAATTTCGATGTCTTACTGCAAATGAATTTATTTGCTTGCAACATTACATGGAAATATACATTATATACACCGCAGGAGACATTAATCATTATGCCTCTTTTGTCACGTATATTGTAAGTATCGTAAGAAATCGGGTGAATGAGATGCGACTTTGAGCTATATCCGAAGATGTGTTTTTCGGAAATCTATTTTTTTTTATCCGCAACATTTTGCAGAGAAATACTCTACGAATTCACCTAATCAAATAATAGATTTGGAACAAAATCCAGATATCTTAATAGAATCCTTAATTAATTTATACTTAACATAAATATAGATATGTGTATGTGTGTGCGTATGTGATACTAAAACTTTTACATTTGGCTATATCAGTCATGGATATGTTGACACGTGGAAAATACATTAAAATCATTTACACTTAATTATATGTACATTATAACAGGCTATTAAAAAGGCGACATTTGACTTAAATGTGAAACAAGAAATATTATATATGACGACTTATATAAATTACTATATTTAAATAATTTTTCCTTAAGTTAAAAACAGTCTATATAAAAAATTCCTATAGAATCATTCTATTTTTTACAACTATTGTTATGTATTTAAAGCCTATACATCTTTCTCGAACAAATTGTCAGTAAAGGAAATAAGCAGTTAGTAAAAAATTTTAAAAGCGTCTCTTTTGAAGGCGAGAGAGCTTAAAAGATAATGATTCGCTTCGACTCTCTGTTTACCTATTTACTAATCTATCATTCAATTATAGAAAATTTTCTTCACCATTAATACGCGAAACTTCTTAAAATTCTAATATTCTAAAATTTAAAATTTGATATTTTTATTTAGAGAACGTATTTTTATATTTTTAGGACATTTTTTTATACGCGCGGGACTTTTGAATTTATACAAAAAGATTACAATGTGTCTTTGTCTGCCTGTGCAAGTACTTCGAGACAATGATAATCACAATGTAATTTAAGTTGACGTTTCGAAGCAAAACTTCTCATTTCGTGATCCCAAATTCTGTATAATGCTTACAGTTAACGTATATGTCTTTCTTGCCGTTTACGATGTGACCGTAACGAGGACAAGCTCGGATGAAAAGTGCAGGTTTGAACTGGACTGTAGGGAAAAAAGAAAAATCAATTTTTATAAGATGAGAATCCAAGAAAGCTGTCGAAATCAAAAATGGATTAATCGAAAGACACACATGTAAGAATTTTATAAAAATTTCAAGCTTTCTACATATATATATATCTATACGCAGAGCTTCGTTTCATGCGTTACCACACGCGTTGTTTAGTTTCACGCAAGAGACGTGCCAAAAGGCGCTCTCAATCCAAAACTCAAATATAAGTTAGTATTGTTAGAGCACACACTCACATGCCTTCTGATTCGAATCGTGGTCCGCGCAGGATGGTTGCTGGATGAACAGAGCCGGTTTCAGCGCCCGGCCGTCTTGATCGTCTATCTGAATCGCCAAACCGTGATTGTTAACGTTGCCGTGTGGAGAATTTCGCGGAATCAGTTGCCAGAATCTGACGCCTTGCCTGACGTCCAGCACCAGCTGTTTGCCGGAGGTCGTCAGGGGTGTCATGATGGAGTCCATCAATCGTTTCTTCGCTGTACATTTATATGAGAATTTATATAAAATATCCATTCACGGAATAAAGTAAAAATTTATTTCACAATCATTTGAGAGATTTAGAAAACAATTGTACATTTATATGAAAAAAAAGTCATAACTCTTTATATTCTCTAAGTCGCATTAAGTAGTAATCTGATTAAATACTCACATCGATGCCTCTTGAGCGACTTTGTGTAGTAGTAAACGGTTATCCTGATTTTCTTCTCATCATCCTCGACCTCGTCGAAATTCCCACTCGCGAAAGTCGTGAGATTTTCCTGCGGTAACTTATAAATTCGCAATTTCGCCGCGAGAACGTGATCACTGGAAGTCAGGTTCAATTGGAAATGTATGTTCATCGAAAACGGATCTGTCCAAGCATCGGCGTCCGTGTTTCGAGGTATCTGGCCTATAAAAGTCACGCATTTTGCCGAATAAACTAGTCGCATTCTTAAAGAAACATGAAAGATTAACGAATTATAAAGCTACTAACAGGTAGGCGAAAACATGGTGAGCTTCTCGCGCTGAATCCGTTTGGTGTTGGTGTTGTTCAATCTTCCAGTTATCCCAAGGACTATATCCTTGATATTATTCAACGTCTTTTGAATCTGACTACACAAAAGGAGGATCAAAACTTATTAGGCTGCGTGGAGCTGAGTCTGAATGAAATGGCGAGTAATAACGCGCAAAAACACAACATCAATTTCGTAACAACATTGCGCGTTAGTAAAAAAATCACCTTAATTATATTAGTATCTCAAACAACTTTTTATATCAAATATCCATTCACGGAATAATCGAATCATAATGCAGACATTCGTGTCAAGAGTGTTTCAAAGATTTCCAAAGTTGAAACAATAGAGTAAAAATTTATTTCACAACCATTTGAGAGATTTAGAAAACAATTCGCTCGACCTGAAACAGCTCGGATTCGATGGAACGATGATCCTAGATATTTGAAGCATTATTTAAAGGAGATTTCTACGAATTCCAAATCGTGGACACTCTCGACGATCGAAGAAGGCCATCGTAAATGTCGCTTCATAAATCTAGTGCGGCGGCGCGCATCTCCGCGCGGACTCGGGAATTTTCACCTTAGGTTCCCGAGCTCTTCCGGGTGCCGACGCGGGCCAACGGACGATGGTCAGTGACCTACAGAGGCACGACGGTACGGCTCGCGGAGGCATTTATTACACGTTGCAGACAGTGGCTAGACAGTCGGCGGATACACCGACAGCACCCCAATCACCTCTCGACTGACTTACCGTCTGGTCTCGGAGGAACGTCAACTTTTTCAGGCCGTGCCTCGAATGTTAAAATTTCTCCCGGGACCCGTCTCATCGCCCGAGCTCATTTGCATAGCCCTATCTTCATCCTACTTTGTACATTTTTTCTGAACACTCGCGTGACTCGAGTTTCACGTCAATTTTTGCGAACAATCCGATCTTGCGAAAATTATCATCTCTAGACCCCTAGTATATTTAGGAAATCATTGATGGTTTCATGCCGATAGTGGAATAAGGTGTTAGTCTCGCGCGTCAGGATCTTGGGATTTCGTTAACAAACGCGGTCTTATCGAAAAACGAATGATATCGGAGGATCGCGCGACAAATTTTCAAGTCATTAACTATCAATACTAGTAATAGAAAAAAGGAGAGACGGGAGAAAAGGAGCGTCATTTCTCTACGTCATCGGCAAGGATCGCCGTATTCGAGACGCCCACTCGGGAGATTTCAGCGCAGTCCCCACGTCAACGACCTCGTTGACTTGCCCGAGCGTCAAGCGGAAGAATGTGCGTATATTTTCTCGAATGGTGGAAAAGAGGAGAAAATAAAAAGATGAAAAGCAAGGAAGAATAGAGGGGGGAATATGGAGAACAAATCCAACAAACGCCAAAAAAAAGACCAAGTTCCCGAAACCTTCGATTTTTTCCGCTGGGTCTGGGAAGGAAACGTTAAATGCAAAGGTTCCGGGAAGGTCCGTGAATGACAAGCGAGACGGACGAAAGCCATTTCTCATCTTAATCTCAGGTCATAATCGCTCGCTTCTTCGAGGATATAGGTGGTCCCCGATAACATTTTATCCCGGGTCCGAGTTAATCCAGACACAGGTCTAGGTTTTCTCGAGAAAGGCAGGCGCGCGGGAGAAGTTACGACTCGCTTCTGCGAAATCACGGGGCTACGGTATACCGAACCCTCGATGTTCGATTCTAGGCATGCTCGTTAATCTAGCCGCGGCCAAGTCACGCATTTCGCGCCGGTTCGTTGCGTACGTGCCACGTCTGTCCGTCGTCTGGGAAAGGGAAGGACCTGGACAAGTCTGGAGGCCGTTGCATCATGCGAACCGGCGCGGCGGATCCTCCTCGCCTCTCCCGTGGGCCGGGTGTCGCGATAATGAAATTCACTGGAGCATAGCCGGCCGTGTAGACCATTAGCGTTGGAAATTAGATAGCGAAACGACGCGAGAGAGAGAGAGAGAGAGAGGGAGAGAGAGCTCTATCGGCGCGTCTCGAAAATTTTAATGCCTCTCCCCGGACCAGGGACGTTATTTAGAGTGAAAAAAAGGGAAGACAGAAACCCCAAATCGAAAAAAAGAGAGAGAAAGAATAGCGAAGAACGGTTCCTCGACGCGATAGGCCGCCGACGCGTAACCGGCGCGCGGCGGCCTGATTGGATCGTCCGTAAAAATGCACATTGCACCGTCTGGCGGTGCGACAACGACGACTGCGACGACGGCAACGGGCGATGCAGAGGATGGAAGGCGAGGGGGGGTTGGACGGAGGGAGGACCCGCGCGCCCGGCGAAAACTTCCTCCTCTCTCTCCGTCGCGCGCGCGCGCCTCTCGCTCCGTCTCCGTCGACATAGGAAGAGAGACGCGCATAGACAAGGTCAACGCATTAAATTGAAATGTGTTACGTAACCTCGTAAGAGAGTTCTAACTGCAGCCCGACTAGACACCCGGCGATTACGAGGGTGCTCAACTCGGTGTCTCGGACGTCTCGCGCTATTCAACGAGATTCGTCGCGCGAGCCTCTCGATCTTATCGTACTGCCCGATGCGGAGACGACTGGACAACGACGGGTCCTCTCCTCCCCCTCGTTTTTCCCTATCGGCGTTTGTGATCGCGAAAAAATTGAGATTGGAAAAGACAAGTAAATTGAAAATGGGACGAGGATCAATTTTGTCGAGGGCGTTTAAATTTGTGTGATTAATCGGTGCAACCGCGCTCTCTCGGGAGATTAATTCGCGAGAAAGATGACGAGACGAGGGATAACAAGATTCGAGAATAATATACCCGGGGGCCGCGGACTCTCTTTCTCTCCTTCTCTCTCGCGACGCAGCCGCGCCGATGCACGATCGTGCATCGGGCGATGCACGAATGCATCGGCAACAGGCACCGGAGGACTCTCGGGACGGGCTACGCCAGTGCCGGCACGAATGCATTTACGCGTCTAGACTTAATAAAATAAAAGAAACGCCCGCGCGAGAGCACCCGCACGAGTGGGGCTGCGAGCAGTCTGTGGGGAGAAGAGGGAGAGGGCGATTTAAAAACACAGCTAGAGACCGCTGCGGAATTTCCACCGCGTATCCTTCCTGGGCTGAGAACACTCTGTCCCTTAAACCTGTCCCTCGCGCAAATCTTATCTCGCACCTTCGCACCTTCGCGCTCTCGTCCCTTCGCGAAGCCGTACTCCGTTTCATTTACATGTATAAAAAATCGACCATTGATGTCGTATTCAATTTTGAAATATTTTGTTAATTCAATTTTCTTTCGTAAAAAGTCGTTTTTTCAAATGTTTCTTTTAAATTCATTATATTAGTGTCTTTAAATTAAATTAAAATCAAAATAAAATTTAAATTTAAATTAAATTAAATTAAATTTAAATTTTCTTCTGTCGATTTATAATTATTTTATACTAAAGAAATTTCTTTTTTCATTTATACAATAAATAAATAATTTTCAGATTAAAATTTCCCCTCGACGAATATATCTTGCGGTGGGCGAAAATGAGCGAAAATCGCAAATTTTTTCACGAAAGAAATCCCTACTATTTACTTGAGGATGAAAAAAAACATTGTATTTCCCTAACGCTACACTAAGTTTTTCTTTGCGCTTTCTCTCTCTCTCTCTCTCTCTCTCTCTCTCTCTCTTCGCGATACTTTTTTATCAGTCCATAAAGATATTTTTACGTGACGAGGGCAACGTTTCGCTGAGAACGCCGATGTCGACCGACGTCGGCGAATTTTTGTCTCTCGTGCGTTACGCGTCGAATTCTCCAATTTCGACGACGTCCGCGAATAAATACGCCGTGGGAAGGAAAATTAATTGGCATTATTTCGCAACGATTTTGCGACAAATTTTTAAGAAAACAAACATTATGGGATACGTGCGTCTCGTTTTCGATTGCGAGAAGAAGAATTCTATAATATACATTTGTTACGATATAAAAATTCATACGATGTATTCTACACGTAATTCGAAGAGCTCTGCAAAATTGAAAATTAAAGGGATTCCTTTGTACAACTCACACAGATGCTGCAAAGACGTAAAACTTTCGCAACCTTTTCATTAGTACCAAGATATCGCAGATCAAATATTCGTTTATGTACATTGATCAAATTAGCGAAATGCTTAAAAATCAGTCATAAAGATCATGCAATTCTATAATTACATACCCACAATATGTAGGTATGTACATTTCTTTCAAGCAAAAAAAAAATATATCGTTAATCTCGATACAAAGGTATCCGATACGTTTCATGCAAAAATAAAAATGAGCGAATCAAACTCGATAATAAATTGTAAAATAAGATTGTTAAAAAAAATGCACGGCACAACGAATGCCTTACCGAATGATAAAGGCCTCTATGGAGGCTTACCTGTCGAAGTTTGAAGTTACGTTTTCTCTAAAAGACACAGAAAGCACATATGTAGATTTGCGTTTGCCAAGCGAGAAGCGCGCGATGAATGACATTTAATAGAATTATGATTCAGTTATGATTCATGTACGAGGGAAAGCGTGACTTTAAACGGGATCAAATCAGCGAATATTATACATTGGTGTACAATTTTCTATTCGACAATCTCGCTTTTCCGTGATTTACTTTTCCCCATATTTCTGATCTTTTGTCTCAACTTACTCTTGACGAACCCGTCGGTTATAGGCAGACGATTCGCTCTCGATGAACGACGCGTTGACGTTGGCCATGAAATGCTTCGTCTGCTCCAGGGCGTCATTCTGGTACTCCAGAGTGTCGTTCTCGTTTTCCTCCGGTAAGATATTCATCATTCGCTCATCATAATCCAATGTCTCGTTGTCGTCAAAGTTATAGCCCAACGAGTCCGCGTAAGCCGGTATCACTCTGTAGATATCCTCTCCGATCCATTCCAGCCCCTCGTACTCGTTGATTTTTCTATCCGTATCGTTGTCCGCGTTCTCGATGAACGAAACGTTAAAATCCATCATCGGGATGTCGGTTGAGGTCACGTTAAACATGATATTTGCAGCGGTATCGCTCGGGATGGTAGACTTGGGAGATTCCGTCGTGTCGAAGCTTGATTGATTCCTGGTATAATTTGGCCTGACGTCTTTAAAATTTCCTAGCTGGTGTACTATGGGAAGTGGAGTGTGTCCAGTAGCCGCGGAAGGAGCAGACGAAGAAGAAACGGTAGATAATGACGAAGCGTGAAAGGAATTAGCAACGTTCCTGGCAGTCGTGTGCCTCAAGGTCGAAGGAGCGCGGTGCTTCGGATCCTTGGACGAAACGAGGGTCTCGTCCCCGTCTACGAATCTCGATCTCTCGTCGGAGCCAGAGTTGGAATCAAACTCGGAATCGTCGTAAGGAATCTTGAAAATCACGTGGGGCTCCATGGCACGGTCGAAGCTTCGATGAAGATTCTGCGACGAGTCCTGCTCCTCGGTACCTTTCGACTCCTCCTCGTAATCGAAATTCGCGGGTTCGGACCACGATTGCTGCTGCAGCTCGAGCTTGGAGGCCAAGTTCTCGTAATCGACCACCGCCTGGCGGTTGTAAGCGTCGAAATCCAAATTTTTCTCGTCTCTCTCCTCGTACCGATTTCTCTTTCTGGACACGTCGACATCGGGATCATAACGCGAAGACGAGTCCATGGAATTGTAGTTCCAGTGCTTCGCTCGGTTTCCATAGAGATTCTCGTCGTAAGACCTTCTCCCGCTGGACTCTGTTATCTTCTTCGATTCTTCATCCTTTCGTTTATCGAATTCACGCTCGCGAATCGCCATCACTTCTTCGGGAGTGTAATTGAGACTCTTCAACAGCAGCATATTGGCCGTGCTGAGATCACCCGTGATTATCTGCAGGATCGCCTTTTCCAGCATCTTTTCTACTCTTCGCGTACTGAAGGGGATCGATCCTTTTCTATCTAAGGCCTCTACGTGTCTTGCACTTTTCTTCAACGATTCGGACAACAAAGTATCCGTGGTTTCCTCACTCTTAAAATTGGATTTTCTCTCGACAAAATCTACTTGACTGTTTTCCTTTCTGTGCACCGGATAAAATCCATGATGACGGTACTGGGAATGACGATGGGACCACGTATTGGTCGCCACGGATACCAATAAAACGAGGACGAAGATTTTAATGCCCATTGTCGCAAATGATGAAAAATTGTTCAAAAAACTTGACGCAGTCGCGCTGCACTCGAACTATTCGATTACAATGATAGATGGTTCGTATTTTCGAAAATTACTGTAAATAATATTGCAAAAGAGAAAACAATTCGGAATACTCGATTCGTTTCCAGAAATAATTTTCAATTCGAACGACAATAATTCACAGAGAGAATATCGAATCCCGAAAATTTCGCGCAGGATGCTCGAGAAAGTCTATAGGTAACCTCCGCGAATTTTTGGAAGAAAAAGTTTTTCAAGAAAATTATTCGTTAATCTCCTCGCAGTTAAATCTTGGAAGCTCCATTGACAGGTGATGCGGTGTCGCGCGCATTATTAGTCTCTGTCTCCGATTTCAATTTCGCTCACCTCGCGGAATCACGAAGCAAGCCGACAAGGAGACTCGTCGCAGTTCTTAAAAGGGTGTCTTTCCTCCGCTTCTCCGAACTTTGTCGAAATTTCCTCGGGATCCCGGGACGTCACGGTCGCGTGCAGACTGACTCCGTAACCAGCTCGTCACCTAGTCGCGGGGCTTCTCCGCGACACGTCCAACGGCACGTGAAGAAGAAGAAGAAGAAGAAGAAGAAGAAGAAGAAGAAGAGGTAGAAGAGGAAATCGTTTCGTACGGAGGCGCGTTAGCGAACTGGACCGTGATTGGTCTGCCGGTGATCGCGGACTAAGTTCTAATCGCACGAGGAAGGCGCGAGGTGCGTAAGTAGGATTCGTATAGTATGCGTGTGCACGCTCTGAGCAGTAAGTCTCAACTGAGCCGTGGTACTGGCCAGCTTACAGACATAATTCTGTCTACTCACTAATTCCGAGACAACCATGAAGCCGCGAGAGGAGACGCGCCGGTGTTACTACGATGACTCCTTTTTTTCTTCCCTCTCCTCCCTCTCTATGGTCCTCTTTCTCCCCTCTCTCTCTTTCTCCTTTTCTCTCTCCACCACCTCGTTGTCGTCTCTCCACGTCGGCTCCACTCTTTCTCCTCCGCTCGGGTAACCCCTTTTCCCTCATGCACCGAAATCCCGCGGAAGACAGCCTTTTCTCTCCTCGCGACGTATTTACCTCGCTCCTCCTCCTCCTCCTTTTGCTCCCTTCTTCGCCACTGTTTCCGCTTCCTTTCCTTTGTATTCGTTTTCCTTTTGGCGCGAATCTACTTCCCGATAATGATTACCGAAGATTGCGTCGAATCGATCCGTCGACTCAAACTCGGGATCCTTCTTTTCCCCCGTCACTTATCTCTGTGATATCCGCTCGCTTCAAGTTTCGCGAATCTTGCTAGGGATCGTCGGTTTCGGTCCATACACAAATATTGACGTACAACTCTTCTTTCTCCTTATTCTTCTTACGGGTAAGATATCGATATAAATATTTTTCCCCCTTTCACGCGACCGCGAATCATCTACGCGCGCGCCAAACTATCAAAAAAATCAACTCTCGATGTCCTACCGTTCGATAAGTCGATCGAATCGTTGCCTCTTTTTCCTCGAGTCGCCTTCGTATATTTTGATTACTTTGAAGAGAACGAAAAGAAAGAATTTTCACTCCTCTTCTGTTTCTCGACCAAGTCTCGGTCATTCGGCGAGATAGCGTTCTCCCGAACGACTTGAGAGAATGTTGCGACGAAATCCGAGATAAATGAAGGAAGGAGAAAAAGAGGAACAGGTACAGGAATATATGACGGGAACACACGAAGCTTGCACGAGAGAAATGTACAAGGAGGCTCGTCGTATTCGGATGGTCGTTTCAGGGGCAGCCACATACGATTTTATAGGGTGTCTCCCTCTCCGCTGTCTAGACGAATCGAAAGATATGATCTTTGAATCATAATGTATCGCTTTTAATAAATGCAGCCTCCGCGTGCGTGCGTGAAAATACGATACAACGCACGCAGACGGCAAGAGTTTGAAGAGAAAAAAAAATAGTGGAAAAAGATGAGATGGCCGTGACAGATTCAATTTACTTCCACGTACGTGAAAATCTCTCTGAAATCCATCAATTCGATTTCGCTTAATTATTATAACGATCCGAATATAATTGGAACAACTGCTTTTAAATTATAAGTGAATCACAACGTTAAATAAATAGGCTCAGATATGTTTATAAACGAAGATGAGATAATTGAATTTTCCGATTTTATCGCAGATTTTCCTTAAATTATTTCTAGGTGAAAAAAGACGATGTGACTCGTAATACATTTCCACGAAGGAGATGAAAATCTCCATCGTATTAATAGATGCGTAAACACAGTTGCAAATCGATGCTTTCGGATCGAGCTTTCCACAAATTATTATCAAATATTAAATCAAATATTTAATCTGATATTTCGGTACGTCTAAATTCGAAGAGATTTTTGCGAAAAATGAAATCTCTAATGATAATTCTTTTTAAATTGAACAAGTCGACTAATGAATTAAATCGCCAACATTTTAACATAAATAATTTCGGACAATTTTATATATTTCTATTTAGTTACAAGTATAAAAACTCTCGCGAGTTGCGTCTCGAGATATTTCGAAATGTAACGCAATACGTCTTTTCCAAATCGATTCGTGGGATCGTCATTGACGAGTATGGAGGAGGAAGGAGAAAAAAGAACAAAACGTTCACCGGTAAACAAATCGATGAATCGAGACCAACGACGTAACCACTTATTCACCCTGCTCAAACTGGGTTGGCCGACGTGTCTGGTGGGGGGCCACGTGTGTCGAAGGAAGTGCATTGCGGTGTCCCGGATACGCACACATCTCCTATACCTTACATTTGATTTCGCATGTACATAGTGCGCACTTAAATTACATACGTGTGTGACTTGTGTACGGATTGAATGTGCCCTTTCTAGATACGTCTGCGAGCTTCAAATTGCTCCTTTCCACTCGCTTAAACTTTAATCGACGAAAGATGCGAGGTCGCTCTCTTATATAATAATTATATCCATAAGCGAAGGATAATCTTAACGAAAGATAACGACCGCTCGTCCGACTCTCCTCGTCTCTCTTCGAAATTAGAACCGAAAGCGAGAGTGTCTCGGTTGAACCCGGTGGTAAAATTAAACCGCGTTAGCGAAATCTGGCTATTTCTAGCTCTAGCCTCGAGCGTGAAGAAGAATGAAAGCGTGTTTAGGCTACGGTTATCTCTCGCCTCGATCCCTCTCGCTACCCTAGAAAGAGACAAAGGACGAAAGAGTTACGCGAGAGACGTCGACGAGAAACCGGCCTTCGGGGACTCTCGGAAGACACGCCGTACATAAAGTACCCACGTGCGATCGCGCGCGGGCCTAACTGCGCGTCTGTCGGAGGGTTTTAGGGTGCGTGAGAAGAGCGAAAAGGGGGAGAGGGACACGAGCGCGATGCAATTTGATCCCGCGCGCGAGAGAAGCGGCACGACGGTGCAACGGTTGTCTGACGTCACCACCGAATTCTCCGTCGCGAATCGGACATGCGGACAGACAATCTGGCGTCTAGACATACCAAAATAAATAACGCGCCGAGCCTCTCGCCATCTCTCTCGTTTCGCCAAGTCAAATTGTTGCCTCGCGCACTCGTTACACGCTCGTACGTCGTCCTTGTCAGCAACGGCGTCCAGTTGACACGCGGGGGATGTTCGCTCGCGCGACCCGTCTCGATCGGTCTCGAGCGAGACCTTTCTCCGCTAAATCTTTCAGGGGAATCGAAATAATGGATCGACTCGCGAACGATCGTAGGCTCCTCGCTACCTCTGGCCTACGAGAAGAGGAAACTCGACAGATTTTTCGCAATTGCGACGGAACTCGATCGTGACAACCGCCATTGCCCCCGCCACGCCGATTTCTCGGAATTGTTTTCGTAGCCACGGGGGAGGATGGCGTGCGATGCGTAGTTGTGCAAGACGGTACAACGGCAGACGCGGCAGAAAACTGGCGGATAAACACGGGGCTCCCGGGAAACATTGTCGTGTCTCACCTGGCGTCGAATCGCATCCGAGATACGCCTTCCCTAATGACAGAGTCTCATCTCGCTCGCTCATCTCCGAGACCGGCTCTCCTCGCGGGGACAGGGCACGTCCGAGCGAGAATTTAAGACGTTCTGCCCACGCGCGCCAAATTATTCCGCCTTATGCCCGTTTCCTCTGATCGGAATTGTAAAAAAGGGAAGAGAAGAAGAAACAGATTCCACCGACGCCGCCCGGTTCGGACCCGCGAGACACGCAGAAACGGAACGAAAAAGAAATGGAAATCGTGCAATTTGCATGGTCTCCCCCTTCCCCCCCCCCGGCACCTCTTCGAACCAACACGGAGGCAGACGACAATCGAGATAAAGTCTCGCTCGCTCTCTCTCTCTCTCTTCTCGAGATCACGTCAAGGGATACGCAGCATCCACGGCGTCCACGTTCCGGCATACTCCGCCTTCCCGATTCTTCGGATCGCTTCGTGGAATCGGGATTTGAATTTCGGAGTGGATTGCGCAATCCGCGCGCGTCCGTCCACCCACGCGTAGGCGCGCAAACGCAATCGTCTCCTCGGCCAGACGGTCATTTTAAAACCAATACCCACCTATCGCGAATACGCAAATCTCGGGAGAGGAGATCTCCCTGTCTCTTTTTCTCCTTTTCTCTCTCTCTCTCTCCCACCCTCTCCCCCGCGCTCTTACGCACCGTCACCTCTCGATATTCCGCGCTCGTTTCTCGGCGCACACGGAGACAACGCGCTTTCAGACCGGAATGCGGGAGAGAGACGCAACTTATATAAATTTTCTTAAGCGTAGCTAAACTAAATCCTCCTCCCCGAGCGCGACTCGCAGAACCCTGATGATTCTTGAATTGTAGAAAATAAAAAAAATGTATGGTATATGCTTCTAACGCGCGGATTAATAAAAAAACAGAGAAAATGATAAAATCATAAATTGGTATCTTGGATGATCAATTATAAATATCATACACGTTCAAAGCTGTCAGGTTTGGCGAAAGAGATCGCGGGTGAAAAATTTGCTCGGCGATCGTCTCCCGTTTTTTACTCTTAAACTTAAAATTCCTCGAGGTTGGAAGAATATCGGAAATGACGTAAAGAAGTTACAAGATAGAACACGATACACGCAGCCGCCGAAGGGTGTCGCGTGCTGCGACAGACGATGAATCGGACGCACGACATTCCAACGAAACGGGAGTAAAGAAGAAACACGAGAAGACGAGGAAGGAAGCGTACGCGCAGTCACGTACGCGTTCCGTCTGGTTAAATCGCATAATGACGAGGTGCCTAATCACAAATTATGCCGCGTACGCGACAACCGATTCCGTCGTCGCGCATCGGGATTATGTAACGTTCACGTCTACGTCTCGACCAGCAATACGTTTCGTCGTTACGACGTAAATATTTATGCACTAGTGTAGGGTATCGCTATTCGAGAGAGTCTTGCGAGAGAGATTTCCTGATCTTCCAGATATACTTTTTCATTCGTATGCGTTTTTCATTCAAAACACCAAGGAAAAAACAGAGCCACTAGAGTTTCAAGTGCTACATGTGCAAAATACTGAGAAAAAAATGGAATAGCTCCCATAAGATAAACATTTGTCACTTGCATAACATCTCAATTTTTTTATTAAACAAAAGTTACATTAAAAAATATGCACCGCGTATTTTGTTAAGACATTGAATATATATGAATATATAAAAAGATCGATATATATATTTATAATATACTTAACATAATTTACAACTTGGGTTATCAGCTGCTTAAAATGCAGCAAAATTATTTTTAAAAAATTGTTTAAAAAATTCCTCGAAAAAATTGCCCGAGTTCTTCAAGTACAAAAATCACTCGTAATTCCATTTCCCATGCTTTTTCAGAAAATAGTAATAATCTTTTTATACAAAAGAGAGAGAGAAAGATATATGATTATCAACTGCTCTAAACGCGGAAAAACAATGGTAATTTATATTAAAAGAACAGAAATAAAATAAAATATATAATAAAATAAAATAAAATAAAGAAATATACTATAAAATATAAAGTAAGATTAAGTGTCTCCTGAAGCTACATGATATAAAAGCCATTTAAAATTCGTATTCCTAGCTCGAATTTTAGAGAGGCCCGAATGGCTGGATAGAGTTGTGTACGCATTTCTGTTCTAATGAAAGAGTTAATTCGACGCTCTTGTTTTCGAGTCAAGGGAGGCGATAAGAAATGGCGCGAGACGGATGTTGACGGCGTGAAAGAGTCATTTCAGGCGGCGTGTGTAGGGGGCGGCGAAGGGGGGAAGGGCGTGACGAAATTCTGCGGAATATTTAATTTTCCCCATGCTCTCGTGTGTCTCCGGTATCAGGCAGATCAGCAGATACTATTTCCACGCGCGAGGCAGCGAGTCCGCGTTTCCGCGCGTCAGATTTCTCTGATTGCGAGAGGATCATCGCGACAAAGAATTATCCGACGTTGATGCGAGGCCTTCGGGCCTGAGATAATTACGGTAATTAACGGAACGAGAAGACACGGCGCCTTGCGACGATAATTCGCCTCGCGAACTTGGCTTCCTCGCAAATTTCACTATCCGTGTTGTTGTTGGTCCCGTGCCAGAAATCTAAAGCTGGCTCGCTTTGCTATGCCCACGTGCACGTAGAAAATAGAATAATTCTCGCATAGAATTATCAAGGCCATGTGGTAAGGCATTAGACGTAAATAAAAAAATTCTATTGCCTTCCCTGTAGCAAACAAAACGCATTTCGACGCATAAATAGACTGGATACGATTGGGTAAAACAATACGGACATTCCGAAATACAACTTCTTGTAATAGTGCCTTGATATGATTACAAAATATCTACTCAAATCTTGTAAAAGAATTCCCTGATTTTTCAGATAATTTTGTTCAAAATTTCAGATAAAAGATCTTTTATGCAGGTTTCTAAAATAAGTTATTTATTTTATGCGTTTTTTTATCTCTACGAGCATTTTAAATGTTAAAAAGCTAGATTTGTGAACGTACTGAAAAAAACCGAACAATTGTTGTAAAATAAACATTTTCTGTTTGCATAATATTATCATTAAAAATTGTAATAAACATATGTACTGTATATTCAATATTTTGTTTAAGATACAAACAGAGAAGTAATATTTGTAATATATTTTAAATATTTGACATTTCACTTGTCTTGTCAATTGCTTGCAATATAAAAGTATCATCAGAAAAAGAGATTTTTTTTTTAATTTCTGCATCGTAATAAAATTTTCTAATTTTCCTTATTCTTGAAGAATTTCAGGTATTTTCATTTTCCAGATAGTAGATACTCTTTTATAAAAAATTGCAATAGGAAAATCTTATTAATAATTCGATTGTTTTCCGTACGCGAGATATATCATGTAATATTGCGTCGAATTCTCTTTCCCCTCGAAGATCCTTTTCTCTTATCCGAATAGCAAAACAGACTACATAGTTTGTAAATATTACGAAGTCTAAAACGTTCGGCAGACTAAACACATTATTACGTCAGTGACAGTGTCGAAAAGGGAGTCCAAGCGGAATATAATCCACTAATGAAAGCTAGTCTTACGTCGGCGTTTCCGTTTATACTCGTGAAAATTATGCTGATCTAATCACAACATTTAACTGTCAACTCATAAAATTTCGCAATCTACGATATATACGGAGTGTCTAAGACGAAAAGGAAATATAATCCCGTTTCATAAATGATTTTACAGATACTTTTTTACAGAATATGTGTTTTCTGCAATTTACAATAGTCTCGCAAGGTGGATTCAAGTAACTCGAGTACATCGAACGGAAGAGAGAGGAGAGGAACGAGAAAAAAACTCGAGACGTCGTCGCTTCGAACAAAAATTCGAATATGATTCTCTCGGTAAAATAGTGTTCTCTCGCGTCGCGTCTCGACGAGATAAGCTAAGCATCATCTTCCCGATTTTTTTGTTCCTCGCCAGCAGCCAGACAGTTTAGCCTTGGTAGCCTCCGATTACTCGGACGCACTTCCTGCTTCGTAATTTACAGAGTAATTCAACTTTGCGTAAAATTACTAAGAAATATGCGAGATATGCGCTGTAGATCATGCGATTCGATCGTATCGTCATATATTACGCATGTCTCCCCCTCCCCTCTTTAAAGTCCATATATTATGAAAAGCCAGCTGTGAATTTTTATTTAGACATTTCCAACAATCGACTCTTATAATTAACAATCTTATGAATAAAAAAATTTAAATCAAATTATTATTATTGTCAAATCTAATCGTATTATATCCGACTGTTGAATAAATATCTTCATATAACAAGAACGCCTAACTTATCACGTCATGTGATCAAATTATTTTCATACTCGAAGTTTATCCAAAAATCGCACTGATTAAATAAACGTTGAGATACTGTCGTGAAAACTTATGTAACGTGAGTATGAATTATATTAAAATCTGGTATGCAACTACTTTTTGTATAGACAACAATTTTCCTCGCTAAATTTACGCTGGATGATTTTACAGCTGTTTGCACGGATGTGTCACTAATGTGAAAATATAGATGAATATCTGTTTTGATCTGTTCAAACACGATTCTATCTCTTTTCCGTAATAAAATATATTTATTATATTTTGTCAGTCATGATTGAAAAAGTTCCCGATATTTAGAAAAGACATATTCGCATAATTAATTTAAAATTAATTCAAAATTATTTTCCGAAAGTGTACGATGTAAAAATGAAATTTATAATTTCTAAGCAGCAAAAATAACAAGGAAAAATTGCGTAGTTGATTTCAATTCACGCGGCTATCGCGACAGATATTTGATTGAAACGCAGGTGATTTCCTATCGATTTTTTCATTTCAGAAAATATCTCTTGAAATCGCGTCGCGACTGTATTACGTAACGTCATTCACGCTTATTTATTACGGTCGTGGTTCGTAATGTCATTCACGCTCTTATTACGGTTTCATCTTCCGGTTCAGTTCTCCAGTTCCCGTGTCTCGTCAGTAGCGCGATTAGCTGCAGAATTTTTTATGCACCTGTTTTGAATTGCATCTCACGCATCGAGGTCTCGATACGATCCGTTAAGACGACGCGTCGCGTCGCGTGTCCCTCGCACACGTGCAAGAATGACACGAGGCGAAACGCACTCCTGGATTTTTCGCTAGTGCCCGTTCAACAAAATCGCTCATCATCCTTCGTTTATCGTCGACGACGAAATAAATAATGGAGAAGTTTGATGTAAATGAAGTAAGTTGGAAAGTGCATCAAACCCCGCCAATAAATATAATATAATATATAATATATACATATGAATGCAGACTCAGTAATGAGCAGTGAAATGTGTCTGGAATGGCGAGTCAGTCATTTAGAATCTCTTTATTTTTTATTTCGTATTAATAAGCTTCTTTGAATAATTTATAAATAGTTATATATCAGTGAAAGTTTCCCCACTTCTTTCGATTTACTAAACAAATTTGCACTTCTGTCAAGATGAGTGAAATGTATACATGTATATACTTTGTCTATGGTTGTAATGATTTAAAAGATAAATGATATTTACAATGTCTTATGCATGTAAACAAGATAATTATGTCAAGCTTTGAAATAGCCGAAAATTTTTATGTTACAGAAGATGACAAGAAATAATTATATAGTGATATAATAGTAAATACTTCAAAAATATATAAACATTTGTATAAACATTTTCCAGATATATACATAAAGAAGTTTTTTGTATATATGTATATACAAATTAAAATTAACAAGAAAATTTTACATTTTTGTTTTTAAAATAAGGAATTTTTCTACATAAAATATACATGTGTAATTATTTTTAGAAAAATTTATATCATTTTACATGAATTAATTTTTGAAAAATATAAATCGAGAAATCTGCTGAATTAAGTGATCTTTTTTCACTTTGTTAATGGTTAACTGAAAATATGCAAAGATAATTTACACATTTTGAAGATTTAATTTCACATGATTGATATCTTGCTTAAAAATAAGATATTGATCACATTATTTTTTTGCAAAGTTACTTAAAATTCAAGATTTGGAAAAAATTATTGCAAGTATTATATCTCGTAGAAATCATATGATGAAAGGAAATGTGGCAAACGTGACACATTCTATCTCAGCAAAAACCTCATCATAGTTTCACGATTGCAAAAGAGAATGTTAGCAATATCTTTTTTCACTTAAAATGTCACGGTAAGAAGGGAGTATCCCCCACTCGTATCTCTCATACCTCGACGTTGCACAACGATATCGCATCACCGATTTTCAGTAGTTCCTTGACGGCTTATCTTATACATAGGTAGAAAACAATGTTAATGTGATTCTACAGTGTATATTTTCATCTGTCATTGAGTTTTCTCTTCTCCAAAAATTATATAACTTGAGTATTTATCGCGAAATGACAGTATATAGTTATCACACTTGATTAGTCGATTGAAATCAATAAAATTTTATCAACACTTTGAGTTATAAAAGTGCGATCTCTACGGAATTGGACTTGAAATTGATTTCAAAGATAATCAATAGTAAACGTATATTAACCAATAGTATACATTATATTCAAATATCACTATATTATATTCAAATATCACTATACGAATAATATAGTAAAATGGCATAAATCAGATGATTAGCATTTAAACTACAAAATTTTACGAAATGTGTTATCAACGTTATCTGTTGGAGCGATTTCAATGAGATTACAGAGTGCGAGAATTGTTATTCCGTCTATATGTTGGAAAAACACATTCTTCCGTTTTACGTCAGTGCTGCGAAAAGAACGACAGAAGCAGGATATATTTTAACACGTAAAGTGAAGTGATAAACAGTGCAAAATGCTCGGAATGACGAATCAGGCATTTGAAGTAACTTTATGTTTATTTCTTGTACTAAAATAAGGTTTCTTGAATAATTCATGAATCGTTATATCAGTAAGAATGTTCTCTTTAAATATTTATAAGAATAAAATTTTATATTGTATGTAAAATTGGAAAATATATTAAATGAAAATATTTTTCTTAGTATATTTCATTAATTAAATAATACTAAACAAAACATTTCCATCAAACATACCCCCAAGGCAAAAAAATGATATCATAATGATATTGTTCTGTGATAATTAAAAATCACAATGAAATCCCAACAAAGTCATAGTGACATGCAAATGTCCGCAATTATCACAAGTGTGATGTCACTATGACATCATTATAATATTAAATAAAATGTTATTGTGGTAATTTACACACACACACACACCCAATAAAATGATCTTATATATATATATATATATATATATATATATATATATATATATGTTTTTTAAAATAAATTTAATTTATTCCATGATCTACATTTTTGGTTTTCTAAATATACATACATACATACATATATATTTGGTTTTTTAAATATACATATATATGTATATTTAAAATACCAAAAATGTAGATCATGGAATAAATTAAATTTATTTTAAAAAACACACATATATATATATATATATATATATATATATATATATAAGATCATTTTGTTGGATGTGTGTGTATGTGTGTGTAAATTACCTTACAATAACATTTTATATAATATTACAATGATGTCATAGTGATATTACACTTGTGACAAAGCGGACATTTGTATGTCACCATGATTATGTTGTGATTTCATTGTGACATATTATTGTGATATCACTATGACTTTTTTGCTGGGGTACATTAAATGTTTTCATTAAAAAGAAAACATATATTTTCAAATGTTATTCGAATATTTTATTCGTCCCTAAGTTTCTTTGCTTATTCGTGAAACAAAATGTAAAGAGATTATTAAAAAAAGATTGATTATTTTTAGAGTAATGAATTAGACGTGTTAGAAAATGGTCGTCGGAAAAGTGAACCTATAACGAGTCAAGTAAGTATATCGTTTCCTTCTTATATTATCATTGCGAAGGAATGCCTTTGTTCGAAACAATTGATCGTTCAATTATGTTTCAAGTGCATTTGCGTGGACGATAATTGACGATAATAGTAGTGTACATTTTTCCATCTTTAGGCAATATATGCCATTGTAATATTTTACATCTAAAAAATATATATTATTTTCATTTAAATTTTTACTTTAAAATTATTTATATGTATATAAATTGTTTCAAAATAAAAATTTAAATAAAAATAAAACAGAACAATTTCCACATTGTTCTATGATTATAAATAATCGCCTAGTAACAATCTAAAACAATATTAATATGCAGTATTATTTTTGCAGAATGCTAATACTCATCATAAATCACAAATATCTCAGAAGAGTAGAGGCAATGCCATTAATGCCTATCTTTCGAAACATCGGAGAATCTTTAAGGTCTTTGGCTTAATAATTTTAAATCTCTTTATTATAGCCTACATAATTTGCGCAGGTGTATATTGGAAAAGTAAACGTACGTATGAGTGTGTGCATTCATTCGTTTCGATAGAATTTATAATTTTATTAATTATATAACTGATATTGAATCGATAAAGCAACGCGCGAAATTTGAAAAAATACGACACGATATAAAACGATATCGATTTCTCAGTTTCAGAAAATCATTGCGATCTCCAATGGTGCGATGGCTACGGCATGTTGCTTATACTTGCAGGACTCATTTACCTCGGTCTATTTTATTTCTTGATCGTAAAACGATATTTTGGGAAGTACATCGTACAATGTTGCCTGCCGGTAACGAATTCCTTGGAACGCTTGCAAAATACCAAGTGAGAAATTCGCGTCAACTTGTATCCCATAAAAGTTATTTATAAACAAGTCACATGGATATCGTGAAAATTTTCAGATACGGGACGTGCATTGGAGCAACGATATTCTACTCGATTGTACTAACAGCTATCATTATTTTTCTTATTCTTGATACCGCAGAATCAAGATACAGGCTGATCAGTATCGTCGGTATTATTGTCATATTAGGATTAGGCTGGATATTTTCTAAACATCGGAAACAGGCAAGCGAATCATTAATATCTTGAAGTTCCACAACTTTGATCCTTTTTATCGCACAATCTTTTTAAACGAAAGATATCATCTTGTCCATTATCGCTTGAAGCGTCTACGAGAGATAAGTTAATTCATTAATCTCGCACGTTACGTAACAATTATCCTCATCTGTCGCATGGTTTCTCAAACGCGTTCCAAGCTCCAATTACTGCAACATAATATATATACACACGTGGAGCCGAGGAAAATTGCTAAAGGCACGTGGGTAGACACGTCGCTAATTTCGCTGGAATTTTTTGCTCACTTCGTTAAATCGTTTAATGTACGTGTTTGCACGCGAATCTTGTTGCTTATAAATTTTTCATGCGTAATATGAATTAAAGTGTCTTCTTTTTTTCTAGTAAAAAGAAGAAAAAATTGAGATGTGAAGTAAATTTGAGAAATGATAAATTTTCAATTTTTATTCATTTATTATCACTTTTAATCATTTTAACGATCACGATTTTATTCATCAATTTTTTAACAATTAATTTCGTTCATTTATAACCATTTTCAATCTTTTTAATGACCATTAAATATGCGCAGATCAAGTGGAGACCTGTTTTTTGGGGCCTAATTTTACAATTTGTACTTGGAGTCCTTACACTTCGATGGCCTATCGGTCGCAGTGTTTTCCAATGTATTTCCGATAAAGTGGCTACTTTTTTGGATTTCGCTAAAGTCGGCGCCAGCTTCGTATTCTCAGATAACATAGTCAACAATGGAGTTTTTGCGTTCGCTGTCAGTTGATTTAATATATTATACGCGTTTAGAGAAATGTAAACTCAAATATAAAATAATAGATATCACTTATATTTAACTTTTAATTATTTTATAAAGAAATGATACATTAAATTAATTATTATTAAATTAATTTATACATTAGATAAATAATTAAAAGATAGACATTAGTAATTAATTAAATTATGAAATAATTATGATTAAATTATAAATTTAACTTATCATATCGTATACAGAAATCATTGATTTAATGATTGGGAAATCTTTATTTACGGGAAAATTTCCCCTTTAATTTATAATTTCAAACCGCTAATAGATATAAGATAATTTAATTTATATTACACTAATATGCTACATTTTTCGCTTAGGTACTGCCCGTGATCTTTTTCTTCAGTTTCATAGTGCAAGTCATGTGCTATCTTGGCGCAATGCAATGGATAATCACGAAACTAGGATGGATCTTGCAAAGCATAATGGGCACGACGTTGTGCGAGTCATTAAGCGCAGCCGCTAATCCTTTCATCGGAATGGTAAGATCATTCATTTTGTTTGAACTGAATCAATAATTTTTTGGCGAAATTATAAAATTTCTATAATAAAAATTCGGAATTTTATGAATTTTTGGCTTGTTTTTCAGTCGGAATCTCCCTTGTTAATCAAACCGTATATCAATCAGTTGACTTCCTCCGAATTGCACGCAATACTAAGCTCAGGATTTTCCACAGTCTCTGGTCTATCATAAATACTATTATTGATATACTATCGATGCCATTAAACCGTAATAATCGTGTTTACCTTTGCTTGTTGTAGGTTCGGTATTGGCTGCTTATATAGCATTCGGTGCAGAACCCGCTAATTTAATAACCGCCTCCGTAATGTCTGCGCCGACTGCTTTAAGCTACTGCAAGCTCTTTTATCCGGAAACTGAACAAAGTCTCACGAAATTTGAAAATATCAAACTCGAAAAATCGTAAGTGCCCCCTTTTTCTTAACAAAATTTTTTTTTCATTTCATGATGGCCATTATTGAGACGAATGTTTCATCATTGATTTAATTCATTAAATCAATGATGAAACATTCGTCTCAATAATGGCCATCATGAAAATTTATATTTATAATATAAATATATTTATTATAATATTTATTAAATTTATATATAGATCGGATACGAGCATTATAGACGCCGCTACCAATGGTGCGTTAGCTGCACTACCAATCGTTTTGGGTATAGTCGCGAATATCGTGGCTTTCGTATCTTTCGTTGCGTTTCTCAACGGGATGCTCTCCTGGTTCGGTGGTCTCGTCGGTTACGAGGAACTGAGTCTCGAGGTAACGCATCCTTTGGTATGCGCGCGCGTGATCTTTTCAGCAGCCAAGAATGTGATCTATTCGAGCAAATTTTACATTTCCAATTTTGCAGATTATTTTGGCGAAGATCTTTATGCCGCTGAGTTGGATTATGGGCGTTCCCTGGGAACACTGCGAAGACGTGGGCACCCTGATAGGTTTGAAGACAGTGGTCAATGAATTGATCGCTTATCAGAAGATGGGCGAGTTTAAGAAGCAGGGTAGAATATACGGGAGATCGGAAGCGATCGCCACATTCGCAATTTGCGGTTTCGCGAATCCAGGCTCGATCGGCATCCAAATCGGCGTCTTTTCTTCTTTAGCGCCAGAGAGCAAAGAGCGAATAACGGATGTCATTTTGCGAGCCTTCGTGGCTGGCAGCGCCGTCAGTTTCCTCACGGCCAGCATCGCCGGTAAGATTGATATCTAACACGATTGTTGCTTCAAGCTTATCAAATTTCGCTTTGTTTGTAGGTATGCTAGTCAATGACATTTCATCATTCCCCGTAAACGTTACTACTGTATCAACAATTTCAAACACATCGATGACAACGCTAAATACTCTTTTCCTTTGAGTTACTAAAAATTGGGAAAAACTGCATTTGAATTGATATTGCGTTATAGCAATCTTATTACACAGAGACATTTAATTATAAGATTTATATATTTTGAATTAATCATCGTCGTATTTATAATTGTTTAAAAAGGAATGGCAACCTCAAATAATATCTTTTGTCAAATAATTGTGAAGTAGTTAGCAATGTTGAGAGAGAGAAAGAGACACATTAATTCTATTATGATTCCACTATTTTATCAGTAATAAATTCTTATACAATACTGTTATAGAAAAACATCAAAAGAACTTATAAACGACATACGAGATCATATATATATATATATATATATCAGCTTCAATTGATAAAAACAATATTTAGCAAGATCTTTTGCTCAGTAAAATCAATTTTGCGCTTATAATAATGCATACATAGCTAAAATGACAAGATTGTGTAATACATCTTATTTAATCTATATGACTATTATTTGTACGTTGTCAGTACGTATAATAAGTGTGTAAGTATCGCGCGTAATGTAATATATATTCCTTCAAAATTGGATGTGCTTATTTATTATATCAATAGTACTAATTGTACAATATCTTATACCACAATAATATCACAATATCTTGAGAATATGGAATGTCGCGTGCGGTGCTTCGAGAAACTAGAAATATCGTGCGAATGAATGTATCATTTTTATATTTGCTACAATCACTTACGGTAGAGCATGCAGCTGATAAGTTTCATAAATGCTATCAGTACGATTATACACATCGGCAGTGATCTCCAACATTTTTGGCAGAATATCTATGTTGCGTTGAACATTTTCACCACAGACCTGAACATCATAGATTACAAATGAAGAGATCATTCGACATTCTCTAAAAAAGTCTGCCCTAAAAATCCATTTACCTTTTTTAATAGAGCCTCTCTATTAGGCATAGCATACATGGCAACTATCGCAGCCTTCCGGATCACCCATGGATGATACTTTGCCAGGGTTTTATTGTATGCTTCCTGACAACAACTAGATGTTTTGTCACCATCTGAGAGATCACCCAGTTGCCGCAAAAATTCTCTAATAAAGTCTAGAAAGTGGAAATGTGTATCAGCTGATTTAGATTTCTAAATAGTATCAATAATGATAACGACATAGTACCTAAACCTCTATGTAGTCGTAATAAAGTACGTGCGCCATTGACAAAGTCAGATTTTTCCAGCAGTTTGTTTTCCTTCTCGTACTCAATCATAGATTTGACAGTGACATACTGCTCATCATCTTTGTTTAACAAATTAGACAGGATGTCTATCTTTTGCTTCAGATCAGAAGAAACAAAACTAAAGACACTGCCCATTAGTTGAAAAAATCTGTGCACACAGTATGTTACGCAAGCATAAATGCTACACAATCTCATATCTCTGATATCAAATTAATCAGATTATCATGATTAATTTATTGGTTTGTCGGAAGCAAACAGATAACAGCGAAGGAGTTCAATATCACAAAATTATAATTTTTATATATAACATATTTTTTGACTTGCACAAAAACTTTGTTATGTAAATTTCATGCTTAAATTTTTATATAAATTTTAATAAATGTTAAATAATATAATATCTTTTAAAAGTAAATTTTATTAAATATTTTATTAAATAGTGTAATATTTTCTTAATCCAATAATGTAAGATTATTCAAGCTAATTGTCACTTGTTTTGACGCCACTGTATAAAAAATGCCAAAAACAAAATTATTCGCAACCGTATGTTTCGGTCAAATAAGTATCATCAAATATTAGTCGTATAAATTGAAGGAGAATTTTTAAATCCCATGCACACAAGGTTATGTCAGATGATAAAAATAGACGAACCGCATGACTTACTTGTAGAGTTCATTGTAAGCGTCTAGATACGCTTTCAAAACGATATCATCATTTTCCGTGAGAGCTTGGTCGAAGTGATCGTGCACCGTACGCAAATCGAAGAAAGTTAATTCCGGTCCCTCCGCCATTCTGTCGCGTTTGCACTCAACCAAATGCCTATTCGAGTTATCGAGTCTGCTTCTGCGCCAACGATACGATAACTCGCGTTATCTCCTTCGATTTCATAGCCTTCGAAAAATTAAACTGTACAATTACATAATCTGCCACTAATTCTGACTGCCCGTTATTACAATTGCGGCAGGTGGTTAGGCATGACGTGGTCAACAATGACAGCGTCATTTCCAAGATCGATGACCGTTTGTTCTTACCGTTCGAGCTATTGTATTCGTTCATAAGACGAAAAACAAAGAAATACAAACCAGCGCACTCTGTCATAGATCACACCTTCGCAAGATAAGAAACGTTAACTTGTGCGTAAGTCATCGATTTAGGAATTCAGAAAATGAATATTGAAGGAACGTGATGATAACGATATTTCAAATAAAAATTTGCATATTTATATCTTGATTATCTAGTATATCTAGTTCTATCGTGCACCTATTTTCTGCCATGTATCTTTTTTTAATTTAATTTTTTACGTAATTAGGAATAATATATTTTAATAATAAATAGTTAGTAATAATAAATAGTATAAATAGTTTTAAATAATAGAAATTATTTAAAAAAAAACCTAATCTTTTAGTATCTTTACAAGAGAAGGAATATTACCAGTGGAAGAGAAGTAAAGTGTTTTCTTGCGAGCAATACCAGTTTCTCGATCACACTGTATGTCTACATAGTATCATCATTTTCCATGAGAGGCACTACAGTGCTAGAAGAATTAATTATGGATCGCAATTATTTTTTTCAAAATAAACAATACGTTCTATCGTACAAAAAAAAATATATTTCTCCGTATATTTTAAAATTTAATTCGATAATTCTTAATCGTATAAATATATCTTATGATTGTTTTCTGATTTTCTTATTGAACTTGACATGTGTACATAGCTGAAGGCTGCCTGCGTCTTTCGTTGTTATATTTACACATTATTTACTCCCGACCTCTATTTGTCGAACAATCGCCTTGTGCATTTACCGAGTTGGTTTCGACGAGGGGAACTGAGAAATTCTTGCGAGTATCTTCCTACCTCACCTTCGCCTCTTATTTGAACTATTTGAAACATTTCCATGCACAAGCAATGAAAATATGTGAAGAAGGAATCGGACTTGACTTTTCTTTTTCGTAAAGTTAATGCCAAGTTAAACCGCATCTCTCATATTTCAAATTTCAATGTATATTTTTTTGCAACACAAATTTTTGTTCAATTTGTGTTCAATGAAAGATATATATAAATAAAATATATAAAATAAATTCCCCTTCGCAATCTCTATTCTTCAAGTGTGATTGCGTAATCTGTATTTTCATCCAACTGTATTATCTAATAAATTGAATTTATGACAATCTATTTCAAATATTATGCGACACACGGTATAGCACTTCTCTGATACTCAGAGTTGCGTGGTTATTGATATCGTACGTAACAACGAAGAAACATAAACAAAGAATAGTAAAATCTCGCTGACACATCGATTCACATAGGTAACCGGTCTCCCTGGGGGATGCTAAATAATTCACCGCAGCTGGGACTGAGAGTCGGACGAGAAGCGTGGGGTTTGCGGAGGAGGCGGCGGTCGGTTGAAGGGCCGATTAAATATTCAGATGTCCCTCAACGCAAATAGAGTAAAGTCAAACGCGACGTCGGGCGCAGGAGCGTGTAATCTAAAAACTACGCGAGGTCAGAACGAAAACAGATCTTCGCCTCCGATAGGTACTCTTTCCATAGTATTACGGTCGACATAGTATCTCGATCAAATGTCAAAGGTCTCGGCTGCCGATGAGGAAGATTGCTATGAAGAATCGTCCGCGCGAAGAATCGCGATGAATATTTCTTCGGTCGGACGAGAAACATGGAGCTCCCGTAGATGTCTTTACGAGGGCAACACATTTCCGGTCAAGCGATCTCACGGGGCGCCGACTTCAACGACCAATCACACGACGTCGTATAGCTGCGGCGCATAAAAATGTGTCACTGGGGTGCCGTAATATCTCCGCCGAGACTTATCGAGAAAACGGATGTCGGATTCTTGATCCCTAGGACGCGACACGCTCAGCGATCTTATCTTCCCTTGGTGGACACTTTTGCGCCTTTATCGTTTTACTCTCCGGAAAAACACGAGACGGATCGAACACGAGCGGTCAACTAAAAAGAATCGCTCGACGAAGCATGCATTGTTCCCGATCATCGTTCTAATTATCTCGGTAACTCAATCTATGTCCCCCTTGTCGTCCTTGTCTCTCGCGCCGCGTCTTGGCTTCCCGCTTCCCTTCTCGATTCTCTCTACGTCGGCCTAGGCAGCAACCCTCCTCGGCTCTCCCTCGCCGTCGTCTACCGTATAATCACCCCTCTTTACCCTTCTTCGTTCCATCCGCGTTGGACGTCCGAGTCGCATCCTCGTCTCTTCCCGTCTCTTCCCGTCTGTCTCTCTTCTTAACGACTCGCCGTCTCCTTCTTTCGATCTCGGAGTCTAACTGCGGGATCGGCGACGACCGCCCATCTAAGTTTAACAATTAACGCCCGAATGGGGAAAAATAAATTAATTGCATGCAGCCTCGTGAGCGAGACGTGTCACGAACATTCGATCTAATCGATGCGGATTCCGTTGTCCCATGTAGAAGATGAATAAGATTTCTTTCGGCACTATTGGAGGAACATGTTTAAACTGGAAGATGTTTAAATCGATCCTGTTTATTAATAATAGATGGATTAATAAATGCAAGAAAGATCTTGGAAGGTAAATTAATTTTTGTGTAAATTTAATTGATACGAGTCTTCGAAAAAAAAATCTCTTCTCTTCTTCAACTTTCTCCCTTGCGCATTGTTCCTTTGTTCCGATTGTCAGGGTCGTCAGAAGCGACAAGACGACAGCTAGCGAGAGACGAGAAGGGTGTTTGTCATACGTCGATAGGCGTCAGAATTGACACATTCGCCGAGTGTGAAACGGAAGTGGCGTTTGGGGCGACATACTAGAGGGATTCGAGGGTGCAAGGCAGATAAATATTTGAGGAATTTGTTGTCGAGAATGAAGGCGGCGTTACAAGACTTATCGCTTGTTTGGCGGCTCCGTAAAAAGATTTCGGACCATTTTTTATTATCTCACACGCGACAAATAAGGAGAAAGTATTTTCCTGATTGTTTTCAATTTACAATTATATGCCGCAATAATTGGCTCATTGTCAAAAAATGTGGCTTTAATCTGCTTTAATTTGCTATAATTGACATCTGGTTAGTCTTTTATCGCTTCCATTCCCCACATCTCAACCATGCGTCAGAGAGGTGAATGAAAGACGAAATAAACGGGGGGAGGGGGAGGAGAGAGGAAGCAAAGCGACGAGAAATTTCTAACCCTTCGATGTGCAGCATTACACCCTCGTGTGCGGTTCGTAGGAAAAGTTTTAGGTGAGCTACGTACGAGAGGGTTGGGAACAGGACCTTTTCGCAAAAGGGTCTAACGACAGTTTTGTATCCCGTGGAAAATCACTGTCAACCAACAAGAGTCTGCAAAGTGTCGCATTATACAAATACATACATACGCGCACTTGTAAAGTCGTTGCCAAAAGTGATGATAATCGTCGCGTTAATAAAGTTCCTCGACGCGAGAAAAAAAATGAATTACGCAAGCGTTCGATTTGCGAAGCAAATCATTAGATGCATCGATGCATCGACATGTTCGGAGTAAAGCACCTCAAGACTCGTATACATGTATCTTAGAATTTATAAACGCGTTGGACACGTCTCAAGTGATTAAGAAACATTACGCGAGTAATCCCAATTTTCTTGCCATAATATATAATATAAATGTAACGAAACACGAGACACGGGATCGTAGATCGAAGCAACTGAGGTAGTTTTAATTTAAACTTTTGTCAGCGACCGTACGTAAAGTAAAGGCGTACTCACACGCACACGCTTAACGGCGGGATGTAACAGATACAGACGGCGCCTGCGAAAAGCCCGGATACCCAGGGTAAAACGAGCCTGGGAAGTTCATTAATGGATTAAGAGTGCTCGATCGATACGATTAGCGCAACGTGGCCAGCCGCTCCTGATACGCGCAACATGCATTCGAACGCAACCTAGAATCCATGATTTTGTCGTGCATGGAGATGATTGAATGGAAAACAGGGGAGGGTAAAAACGCTTCGTGAAAAGAATTATGTTGTCAATTTAACTTCGGATGGCTATATTTTTTTTATCTGAATCGCCAGCGTTTCAATCGGATCTTTCTATGCAAGAAATATTTTTGCTATTTTTTCATCTTGGCATTAGAAAAAAGTTATCATGACGTTTATTCAAATTTTGTAAAGAAATTTCTTGAAAAGTCCCTGATTTTGTTCAAAATTCCTGATAAATATTGTAGAATTTTTAAAGATTTTTTCGCCAACTTTTTAAAATAAAGTTTGTTTTATTGTATGCGTTTTCATTCATACAAAGGATAAACACGGAGCCATTCAAGTTTCAAGTGTTAGATTTGCAATTATAATATGAAGAAAACTGAATGAAAAGTATTCATTAGCAATAAACATTTTTTACTTGTATGAAATTATCATTTTTGTTTATCACTAAAAATGACGAAAAAGGGTATTTAATATTTCATATTTTGTAAAGAGACATTAAATATATAAGAAATAGACATATATTTATATTTTAAACATATAATTCACAACTTGATTTATCAATAGAGATTGCTTGAGAGTAAAATTATCAAAGAGAAAATTTTTTTTTAATTTCTCTGATTTTTTCAACAAGAAAAGTCTTGAAAATTCAAAATTTCTCATGTTTTTTTCAGAAAGTAGACCCTCTGTGTTTATATAAAACTTATGTACTGCTTCAAAATATAATTATAACCACAATATATGCATGTCTTTGACATAATTATAATATTAGAAACCAACATCTCTATCCTTTCGCCACGAACTATCAAAGCTTTATATCGATCCTAGAGATTGATATGAGCGCCGTGTAACACACGGTCCCCTAGTGCGCCGCATGGGGTTGAATTTTAAAACTGCCCTCCAGAGAGAAGTGGGAAGCTGTGCGTCTTTTGAAATCAAACTGTATGCGGTCCTGTCCTTGCGTAAGAAACTACATATCCCTCGGGAGCTCACGTTGATACATATCCTTCGTTGTTGTCATTCAAGAAAGCCGACGTTCAAATTCCATTTCTCTCTCCCCATATTTTTTTACAAT